CAGCCTCGGTGGTATCCCTGTTACTCTTCCATCCTCTGCTTTGAGGAGGCTGCCGGGGCCACTGTTGCCCCCCATGGACCTGGGCACTGCTGTTCCTGGCAGGCCCTCTGCCATCAGCCCTGCGGCCTGGCTTGCCTTCTGGTGCCAGGAAAGTAGCTGACGTGAGTGTCAGCCTCCCCCGGCCCTGCTGCGGCCGTGCGCTGGTCTAGGTGCTGACAGGCAATTGTGACGTCGTGAACAGACAGCTGTGTCCTCTCCCCAACCCCGGCCTCTGTTTCCCTGTCTGCCCTGATGTGTGAGCTGAGCTCCAGGGTGGTGTTGAGGAGGCGGGACAGGCTGTCTTCTTGATCCTGCCCCTGGCGGGAGAGCTTCCAGTGTCCCGTGAGCATGCCGGGGCTGACTTTCAGGTGCACACCACCTTGCACACCTGGGATAAGTCCCACCTGGCTGTGGGGGTGACTCTCTAGACCAGTGATGGTGAACCTATGACACGCGTGTCAGAGGTGACACGGAACTCAATTTTTTGGTTGATTTTTCTTTGTGAAATGGCTTTTAAATATATAAAATAAATATCAAAAACATAAGTCTTTGTTTTACTGTGGTTGCAAAGATCAAAAAATTTCTACATGTGACACGGCACCAGAGTTAAGTTAGGGTTTTTCAAAATGCTGACAGGCTGAGCCCAAAACGTTCGCCATCACTGCTCCGTACCCCATTGGAGTCACGTGGCTGATGGTTGTTGAGGATTTTGCACCTGTGTTTATAGAGATGCTGGTCTGCAGTTTTTCTTCCCTTGTAATGCGTTTGTTTGGTGGGGGTGCGGGTGGGGGTGGAGCCGGCCCCTGAGGTCAGTGAGAAGGTGCCCCCTCGTTTCTGTCTCCCGCGGAGGCCTCAGCGTTGGTGGGATCCTCCCGTTCCATCCGGCGGGCTTGCCAGCGAACCTTTGCCGCGCGGCCCGCTGAAGCGTCTGTTCACGGCGGGTTCTGGGAGCCAGCCCGCATCTTCGTAACAAGCGAGGTGAAGCCCCCCCACCTTTCCGTTTCTTCCTCCTCCTCCCGCTTCCCTCTGCTGAGGTGAGACTTAGAGACGGGCCTCCGACGCGGGGGTTCACGCTCACACCTGTGTTGTTTCTGCTCAGCCCCTCGGCGGCCACGCCCTCTCCCGGCTGCTGCTGGTCTCCCAGCTCCGCCCCGCACCCGGGTCCAGGGTCCGTCTGTGCTCTCTCTCTGGTGCTTGTCCGTCTCTCCCGTGGACTGTGTCCCTTCGTGTGTCCTGTGGCTCAGGCCCTGCCCGAAGGCACCTGGGTCGTGGGGCCTCTCCTGCTGCTGCTGCCGCCAGGGGTGGGGAGCCCAGGGGTGGGGAGCGCCCTGGCGGCCTGTCCAGGCCCCCCCTGCTGAGGGAGCTGGGTTGGAGGTGCCTGCGAGCTCCACACTCTGCCCCCTGCCTGCCCCTCACGCTCCTCTCCTCTCTGCTCTCCTGCCTGTTCGACAAGTCCCTTGTTTCCCTTCCGGTCGGGGAGGGAATGGAGGGGGGGGGGGGGGGCGGGCCCTGGGAAGGGGGTGGGCCCCCGCTGGGTTCCTGAGGCTGCGGTCACACCTGGCCGGGTGGGGGCGCCTCTCAGGGCCGTTCCCTCGCGCTCGGAGCAGGCCAGTCCCAGGCACTTTCCAGCTCTGGATGTGGGCGTCCCTGCTCAAGGCCCCGTCAGTCTGTCTAGTGTGTCTTCTCACATAAGGGCCTTGCCACTGGGCGTCAGGCCACCCCAGCCCCAGGGATCTCATCTTAGAGCACGTGTGTCAAACTCGCGGCCCTCGGGCCACAGGCGCCCACAACGAATGTTTTTGCGGCCCAGCCAATATAACCGTGTGTAAGAAACGTGTTAATAAAAATTTCGTAACTTAATTTTTACAATATCCTGATATATGTAATTATTAACGAACTACGACGTCCGCTAGTGACTGATGACTATAATCGTGCTGCGTTCGTTTCCCCACGCGCCTCACACGCAGGCCCACCGTTTCCCTCCACTGACACCAGCAGCGAATGTTCTAGCAGCCCATGGCCACGTCGTCCGTCTTGGACTGACTTGCTTGGTGTGCGCAACAGGAAATATTTCGCTTTTGGAGAACAGGAGAAATAGGTTTATTTGCGTGACGCTTACTAATTTGTGCAGTTATGCAGTGCCTGGTAGGTTAATGGTCAAGAAGTACTGATTCTTATTAAAAGGTCCTGTTATTTTATGTGAACGATGACCCGTCTCCCTCAGCCCTTTGTGTGCGGCCTGTCTCCGTGGAAATGAGCCTGCGTTTCTGTGCAAGTTGAAGCGTCGTGTTTGTGGCCACATCCACGGGAGCCTGTGTGCTGGCCGCATTGGCTTTGGGTGTGACCTGCTTGTCTTCAGCCCTAAACGCAGCACAGGCTCCAGGGAGACGTGCAGCCTGCCGCCCACCACTCCCCGCAGTGGGGCCGGCGGCACCGCCAGCTGCTCTGGCTCGGGGCCTGTCCTCCGAGGGCAGTGAACGCCAGCGACGGGCGTGTGGGCGGCCCTGCTCCCTGCTGACAGCGGTGGGGCTGGGGCGGGGGACCCCTGCGCCCGGCCGCTTCCTGCTGTTGGAGCCAGATGGTCACCGACCCACAGGCCCTCCGTGCACTCCTCGCTCTCGCCCGGTGCCCGCTGTCCCACAGAGACGGGTCGGGCTTGGGGCCCGGTGGGGCTGCAGAGCGCCCGGCCCCTGGGAAGGAGGGAAAGGGTCAGAGTCCTGCTTTGTGCCCTCGTCAGGGTGTGTCCCGTGGCCTAGCAGCAGGCTGGGGGCTGCCCCAGCATCGGTGGAGGCCTGTGCCCATGGGGGGCTGCCCCTGCATGTGGGGGTGTCTGTGTCCGAGACTCGGGGCTGTGTCTGGGGAGGACATCTGTGTTGGGAGTTTGGGGCTGAACTCTTCTCTGAGGGGCAGGGCCTGTGGCCTCAGCACTCAGGCAGCGTCTCGGGACTTGGGAGCGTGCGGGGTGACGCATGCGGGGTGACGCATGCGGGGTCTGTGCCGGGATGCTCACGGGTGCCTCTCGCTCGCAGCACAGGAAGTCTTGGAGAACCTCAAGGACCGCTGGTACCAGGCGGACAACCCCCCGCCGGACCTGCTGCTGGGCGAGGAGGAGTTCCTGTCCTTCCTGCACCCCGAGCACAGCCGCGGCATGCTCCGCTTCATGGTCAAGGAGATCGTGCGGGACCTGGGTGAGGCTGGCCCTGCCCAGGCCACAGCCCCTCGTGCTGGCGGCCAGGCCCCGCGGGGGGGCTTGCTGTCTGAGCCGGGGAGGCCGGGGTGGTCTCGGGCTGGGCTCTGAAGGAAAACAGCCTGGTGGGCGCCACATGGCCTCAGCCAGGTCCCCAGTCCCCGGGAGGCACGGCTGTTCAGCTTCAGTCTGAAACGTCACAAACGGAAAATCCGGCAGCACAACCCCTTGGTTGGCTCTCCTCGTGGCCCTGGGGCTCCTGTGCCCACCCGAGGCTGAGCGCCCCGTTGTTCCCCAGACCAGGACGGCGACAAGCAGCTCTCGCTGTCCGAGTTCATCTCCCTGCCCGTGGGGACCGTGGAGAACCAGCGTGGCCAGGACATGGACGACAGCTGGGTGAGGGACAGGCGGAAGGAGTTTGAGGAGCTGATTGACGCCAACCACGACGGAATCGTGACCATGGCAGAGCTGGAGGTGAGCGTGGGGGACGTGGGGGCTGGGGGCCTGCCCGTGGCCAGCGAGCCACCTGCAAGATGGTCCTGAGCAGGAGGCAGCGTGGGTGTGGCTTCCCGTGGCTGGTCACTGGTCACTGGGTGGAACCTGAGCGGAGGCCATGGGCTCCCGGGGGGCCCAACCAGCATCGCCAGCGTTCACTCCCAGAAGGCGGCCGTGCCCGTCCCTGGGTCTGGGTGTCCCGGGTGACATGGCCAGTCCTGGCTCTGAGAAGCCGGCCCGTCGGGGGCTCGGTGGACGGGCACGGTGTGGCTGGAACCTGCGGTGTACGTGCTGTGAGCACTCCTTCACTGTGATGAGTCATTTCATTTTACTTGAGAATTCTCTGCTCCCTGTGATGCTGGGGCAGCTCGGGGTCCTGTGACCATTCAGGCCCCGTCCATGTGACCAACAAGCCCCTGCTCCATCCTGGCAGGGCCTCCCCTCCCCACCCTCTCCCCGAGCCCACAGAGGCCGCACCCTCATGGCCTGGGCCATCGCCAGACCTGTGTCCGTCTTCCAGAACATTCCCGCACCCGTCCTGCAGCCCAGTCCACAGGGTGTTGGAGAGAAGGCGGAGCTCACTGTGGCTGTGACGCCTGGCTGTTCCCGGGCCCTCGGGTGCGGACTGGGCGGCGGCCGGGCAGGTGCGGCCGGTGCTGACGCGGTGTCCTTGCAGGAGTACATGGATCCCATGAACGAGTACAACGCCCTCAACGAGGCCAAGCAGATGATCGCCATCGCGGACGAGAACCAGAACCAGCACCTGGAGCCCGAGGAGGTGCTCAAGTACAGCGAGTTCTTCACGGGCAGCAAGCTGGTGGACTACGCCCGCAGCGTGCACGAGGAGTTCTGAGCGGGGCCCGGCCGCCCACCCGCTGCTCTTCGCTTCCGAGAACTGGAGCCGCCAGGGCACTGACCCCGGGCCGCAGCTCACCCGCGTGGAAGCAGCTCCGGGTTCCTGGGGGCTGCGTGGCCGGGTGCGGTGACCTGTTCCGTGGGGATCAGCGCGGCCAGAGCTGCCCTCCGTCCCCAAGAGTCATGGACCTGCGGCCAGAGCCACATGCATTATTTAAAGTGTAGTCTCTCTTCCTTCCAGCTTCATTTTTTGGGGGGACAAAAACGCATAAATGGTAACTTGGAATATCTGTAGCCAGCTGGCTTCCCTTGAGCTTTGAGGTGGGGTTGGTTAGAACCCTGGGTTTGAGTGGGGTGTCTTGTGCAGGAACCACGACAGGATGGGGGCCATGCCAGGGAGAGGGAAGCAGGTCTGGGAACTGCCCTTGAGGGGCCAGGAGGAAATGGGAGTCCAGGTTGTGGGGACATCTAAGGCTGAGCCCTGGGCTCTGCTTTAGGGGAGTGGGGGGCCTTGCGGGCCGCTATGGGCCAGCTTGTCGTCTGCAGTCCACCCTGTGGCACTAGCTGTCCAGACCCTGCTAGGGTCAGCGTGCCCCGTGCTCTGGCTGGTGTGTGTGTGTGGGGGGATCAGGCTGTGAGGCTGTGACTGCGGGCCCCCGAGCCCACACACCTGGCACCCCATCCACCGCTGGCCCCTCCTCATGGCTGTGGTGCCTCAGGGCACAGCTTTCTGGCCAGCTGGGTGGCTTGGCCTGTGAAGGTTCCACTTCAGAGCAGAGGGCGCCGGAGCAGCCGTGTGACCAGCCCTTGCCACGGCCCACTTCTGAGCAGCTTGGGGCTGGGGCTGCCACCGAGGAACGGGCGAGTTGACACCTGGGTTTGCAGACAGACAAAGCAGAAGCTGTTTTCAGATCTGTCGGGAGCTGGGAGCTCGTGGTGGAAGGAAGGAGGTGGTGGTGGGGGAGCTCATGTGGAGGGAGGTGGGGGCCAGGCCCAGGTGGGTCGGGGGGAGCAGGTGTGAGCACCCGATCAGCTGCACCCCGGGCTGGAGGCTGGGCCAGCAGTGACGGGCCGCTGTCAGTGCCCACGGGTCACCTGTGAGCAGACGCCCCACACATGGGCCAGGCGTGGGGACCTCAGGCGACAGACCCTCGGGCAGGGCCCCATGCAGGCCCCTGGGAAGGAGCGGGTGCTGCCCCAGACCCCGAGTCACAGCAGCTTTGGAGGCCACGGTTTTCTGTATTTGGCAAGAAAAAGGCGTTTTCACCGTCCCAGGAGATGGGGCACGCGCACACGCGCACACACCCACCAGGCTGCCCTCTCCCGTGGGGACCTTCTCCCTCAGAGGCTCCGGAGGGCTGAGCCTGCGTGGCCGCCGTGGCCTGGGGACTTTCCCGCAGGTGGGCCGGGAACTGCTGCTACCTGAGCTGCCGGCAGGAGGGACTTTCCGGGCCTCTCGTCCTGTGGGAGGCTCCTCTCTGGGAAACTCCTTAAATTAGCTGTCGAGTAGGTAAGCCTGGGCCACGGCACGACTTAAAAGGTACAAAAACAACCAGCCGTGCCGCCCCAGCCGCCGGCGCCCAGCAATGCCAGACCTGTGTGCGTGTGCACACGTGTGCGTGGTGCGTGCACGTGTGCATGCATGTGTATGTGTGTGCTCCACGTTTACACACCTGGCGCCCACCTGTCCTGGGGCTGCCCAGGCCCTGTCTGAGGCTCCCGGGACAGTTGGCTGGTCCGTCCGTCTTCTCTGTTTGGGGAGCTGGGGCGCGCCCTCGACCAGGGCTCCCGGAGCAGCCACACGCTCTAGCACGTGGGCCAGGGACACGCCTCGCACACAGGGACACAGCCCACACGTGCTCCCAGGCTGTACCTGCTGCCCGGAGAGGGTGGGCCCGCTCGGCGGCACGGCTGGGTCTGGCCGGCCAGCCCGGGAGCAGGGATGGGGCCTGGATGAGGTGCTTCTGCCCCAGCCCCGTCGGGGCTCCCCCCCCGGGTGTCAGCCAGGCTGGTCCCGTGGCGTCCTTGGCGGGCAGGCGGCCACCTGCCATGTCTTCACGTGGCCGGCCGTCCCTCTGTGGCTCTCCTGGGGTCTCTTGCAACAAGGCCGGTCGTGTGGGGCCAGGCCCTACCCTTACAGCCTCCTCTGACCTCAGTCACCTGCAAGTACAGCCACCCTGGGGGTCAGGGCTCCCGTGTGGACCTGGGGACACCAGCCTCTCACACCTCCGGGCCCAGACGGGGCTGCACACAGGCACCTGCTCCCGCGGCTGCAGCCACACTGCTGGCCACTGCCCGCCCCGCTGGCCGAGGACTCCAGCCCTGGAGCCGGGATCCCTCCCGCAGCCCTGGCTGAAGGAGGCCCTGACCGGGGCCTGTCTCCTGGCTGTGCCTTGGCTCCTGGTGTGCTCAGGGCACCTTCTGTGAGAGTGAGGCCTGGCATGCTGGGAGGGCTGGTGTGCGGGTGGGTGCAGACCAGACGGCGGGGACCGACCTGCCCTGGGGGGGTCGGAGACTGGGGTCCTCTGGCCAGGTCTGCACGGGCTGGGAGGGCTGAGCCTGAGGTACTTGAGGGGTGTCCTCAGTCCCCTCTCCGCCTCCTCCCCGCCCCTCCCCCAGCCTTTATAGCCACATCCTGCAAGGAAAACACACACTCCTGCCCAGCTGCCGAGGCAAAGATGTGTGTGGGCGCTCAGCGGCCCCGGGCACCTCCGTCCGCCCTCCTGCTCCTGGGGCTCGCGCTGGGCGCCGCGGCCAAGCTCGCCTGCCCTGGGAACACCTACCCTCGGGGCAGCAAGTGCTGCCAAGACTGCCCGCCAGGTGAGCAGCTGGCCGTGGGGCAGGGGACGGGGACGGGGACTTGGAGGACATGGGGCGGAGGGTGAGGGCAGGGGCCTGAGGAGGACGTGGACACAGGGATGGGGATGTGGGGCAGACACGCAGGAGGTGAAGGGCTGCGGGTATTGTGGGACCGTGGACTCGGGGTGACAGGGTGGGTGACGCTCAGGGTGGTGAGGGACCTGGGACCAGCCAGGCCTCGCAAGCCCAACGCCTACAGGGTTCGGGATGGAGAGCCGCTGCACTGATACCCAGGAAACCAGGTGCAGCAAGTGCGAAACCGGCCACTACAACGAGGCCACCAACTACGAGCCCTGCAAGCCCTGCACGCAGTGCAACCAGCGTGAGCCCCCCAACCACAGACAGAGGGGGCCCCGGGGCCCCAGCCCCAGCCACAAACCCCAAACCACAGCAGGGTGCTCTGCCGGGGGTCCCCGGGCACCTCCCTCCTCCCAGGGGCGGAGACCGAGGGGGGCGGAATGTGCCGGCCACGTGGCGACGGGGAGTCCTGGAGGCTGGACGAGGTGGGCAGGGAGCCAGGCAGCCACGGGCCTCGCGCCACGTGGCCGGGCCGGACGCAGCGTCCGGGGCCGAGGGAATGAGGAGCCACTGGCCTTGGGGCTGCGGACCTGAGGGAGGGGCTTTGGGCCTTGGCCGGTCCTGCAGCCCCCCCTGTGCCTCCAGGAAGTGGGAGTGAGACCAAGCGGGCGTGCACCACCACGAACGACACCGTGTGCAGCTGCCGGCCCGGCACCCAGCCCCACGGGGGCTTCAAGCGAGGAGTCGGTGAGCTGGGCAGGCGGGCATGTCCCCATCACACGCTGCACCCACTCCCCGCACTCCTGACCGCCCCCCGTGCCCGCCCCACAGGCCATGCCAAGATGGGGTGCGGGGTGGGGGCTGCGGGCCGGGGCCAGTGGGTGGGACGCAGGCAGGAAGGCTTCTAGGGCTGAGGGGGGGGAGCCCAGCTGCACAGCCCGGCCGCCACCGTCTTCATCTTCGTCTTCATTACAGACTGCGCCCCGTGCCCCCCCCGACACTTCTCCCCGGGCAACAACGAGGCCTGCAAACCCTGGACCAAGTGAGTGTCCTGGGACTGGACGGCTCGGACCCCTGGGACCTGGGAGCCACATCCCCCATGGTGGCATCGCCCTGCTCAGCCCTGGCCCGGCCTCATCCGGGCCCTCGGGCCTCCCTGCTGGGCTGCACAGGGAGCGGGGAGACCAGCACAGGACCCGGGACTGTGGGAGGTCCTCTCGCCACGGCTGGGAGCTGTATTAGGACTTCATGGTGGGGCAGGGGTTGGGGTGAAGGGCTGGGAGGAGCCAGTGGGAAGCAGAGTGAGCGAAGGGATGTGGGGTGAGCAGGCCCTGGAGACCCTGAGGGTGGGGCCAGGCTGGGGGTGGCAGGGACGCAGTCTCCACAGTCCTGGCCCAGCCCCGGGCCTGTGGGATCCATCGGGAGGAGGGGGCACGGGCCGGGCTGACGACCCCTCTGCCCTCAGCTGCACCGCAGAGGGCAAGCACACCCTGCGCGCCGCCAGCAGCAGCTCTGACGCCGTCTGTGAGGACAGGACACCCCCTGCCAGCCAGCCCGTGGGGACCCGGGGTGCCACGGCCCGGCCCTCCACCACCCAGCCCTCCACCCCCTGGACCCTGACCTCACAGCCCCCCACCAGCCCCCCCACAGAGCCCCCCAGGGGTAAGAGCCCCCGGCCTCCCCCAGCAGGGCCCTAGGGGTGGGAGGGCGGGTGGGTGGAGACGTGGGGGTGGGTGGGGCTGCCCTGGCCTCCGCGGTGGACCCCACTACAGCGCTGCTCCCCGCAGGCCCTGAGCTGGCTGCTGTCCTGGGCCTGGCGCTGGGCCTGGGCCTGCTGGCCCCTGTGGCTGCCGCACTGGTCCTGCTCCTGCACTACAGCGTCTGGAGGCCGCCCGCCGCCCCCAAGCCCCCCGGTGAGTGCAGCGCGGCCCAGCCGACCCCTGAAGGCCGAGGCCGAGGGCCTCACTTCCGCCCTCTCCTCTGCCCAGGAGGCCACAGCTGCCGGAAGCCCATCCAGGAGGAGCACTCGGACGCCCACTCCACGCTGGCCAAGCTCTGAGCACGTCCCTGGGGCGGCTGCGCCCTCCCAGGCCAGGTGGTGGGGTATCCCCAGGCGCAGGCCGCCCCCCATGGTACACATCACCCCATCGCTGTCACCTCATCCCCCCGTCACCCCTGTGTCTGGCTCCCAGGGCCTGTTCCTGCCCGCACCATTCTCGGTGCTTCTGGGCCGGCACCTGGGCCCACTATGTATGCCGTGCATACTCCCCACCCAGGTGGTAACCCCAATAAACGCTGCTGGCAAATGTGGGTCTCTGTCTGGGTGCCTGTGGCTGGGACTGGCATTCCTGGGGCCTGGGACCTGACCACCCTGGCTGGCAGCCTCTGAGGCCGGGGTGTGGGAGGGGCTCTGGTGAGCCAGCCCAGTACCTGTGGGGGACTGGCAGTCAGACATCGAGATCCTAAATGAGGGCGAGGGGCCTGCGGCCCCAGTGCAAGGGGTGGGGCTGGGGTCCTGGCGAGTCCCAAAGGGCTCAGAGGTGGCATCTGCTCCTCTGAGAGCCCCTGCCCTCTCCTCCTCCTGGCCCCGCAGACCACGCCTGCGGCCTGAGTGTGTGGGCACCCGCACCCCTCCCACCCCAGGGCCACGCCACCCAGGTCCTCGTGGGGCCACACTGCCAGTCCTGCAGGAGGGAAGCGAGTGCTGGGGGGATGCGAGTGGAAGGTCCCCAAGGGGAACCCAGGCCTCCACGGGCGGCAGGTGGATGGAGACGGTGTGGCGTTCAGAGGGACCGCGGGCAGCACTCGGCCGGCACTCGCGCACGCAGCGGGCACGGGCTACACCGCCCACCGTGTGGCCCCTTGGGCAGCGTCCTGGGGGTGCAGGCGCCCCCCTCAGCGTCCCTCCTGTGTGCGCCGCCTCCGCTGAACTGGAGGCAGAACGTGACAGGAAGCCGGGATCCGGCCGTGGAAACACTGAGGTGAGCGAGACCACAAGCCGCGGCGGGAGGTGGGGCCGACCGTGGGCATCGCAAACACGTAGGAGCTGCCGAGAGGGAATCAGAAGTGAAACGCCCCAGTACCTGTGGGGGCGTGGAGGCCAGACCTCCAGGGAGCCCACGGGGTGCACTTGGCAGAGACCGGCTCAGGGACACCTGCTCGGCCCCCGTGGCCCCCTCCCTCCCAGTCCCGCCGACCAGGACTGCCATCTGCTGGGTGTCCTGCCAGGGAGCCGCAGGGACCTCGGGGTGCACACAGGCCCTGGCCGCAGTGCGTGCAGCTGGGAGGACTCGCTCTGGCGCTGGCGGAGCCTCAGTGCCCCCTCCTCCCTACCGCCCCACCCGGGCCAGCTTTCTCCCAGAAGTTGCCCCCAGGCCTGGCCTCTGTCCTTTCTCTTCTCAAACCTCTGACTCCTCCCTGGAACCTCTGGCTGCAAAGGGAGGGAGCCATCATTTTCCCGGCAGCTCACTGAGCGCCCATAGTGAGAAAGGGGAACAGTGGCTCCTAAGTGGGACCTGAAGGAGGGGCCAGACCTTGGGGGTCCTCCCCAAACCCGCCCCAGCCCAGCTACTCCTAGCTTCTCATGGCTCTACGCCAGCAGTTCTCAACCTGTGGGTCGCGACCCCTTTGGGGGTCGAATGACCCTTTCACAGGGGTCACCTAAGACCATCGGAAAACACATATATAATTACATATCGCTTTTGTGAATAATCACTATGCTTTAATTATGTTCAATTCGTAACAATGAAATTGGGGGTCACCACAACATGAGGAACTGTATTAAAGGGTCGCGGCATCAGGAAGGTTGAGAACCACTGCTCTGCGCACCCTGGTCCATGCCTGGCTCTGCTGACAACCCCTGACTTGCTCTTCTCCGGGCCCCGCCTGCGTCCCAGGCCGGGGTGTTGAGCTGTGCCCTCCCATCCCGGGGCCCATGGGCACCCCCTGGCGTGTCCCCACCAGGCCCCGCTCTCCCTGCCCCCAGCCCTTCTGGTGACGACAGACTCCCCCGTGGGGCCCTCTCAGCCACGAACACGGCGACTTCTGTGAAGCGAGAAAATATGACTGCTCATGAGCCATAAGCAGTGCCCTGCTGCCCCTGGGAAACCACAGGCCCCGGAGGCCGGCCCGCGGCCGCGGCAGGAAGGAAGCTGCGGGCACTGCCGCGCTCTGGCGTCATTCTCCGCTGAGGGCTGCGCTCCCCGCCGTGCAGTCACGTAACCCGCCTGCGTTTCCGTGGGGCCCAGGTGAGGGCATGGCTCGGCCCCGCCCGCCTCTCTAGTGGGCCTGTTCTTTCCCTGCACATCTCTGCCCAGCCCAGCTCGCCCTGCCCCCTCCCCCTCCCCCATGAGCCCATTCCAGAAGGTTCTAACCGTCCCTGCTTCCAGAAGGACCGAAGGACGCAGTCCAGCCCCTGGTCCAACAAGCACCCTCCGCCGGGATTTACCGAATGGTTTTGGGCCACAGCGGACGGGTGCTTCCCAGAACCGAGTGGCGTGCGCACGCAGACCTGGCCTCGTGCCTTCAGAATGGGCAGCCTGGCCAGTGGGCTCAGTGGATAGAGCAGTGATGGCGAACCTGTGACACGCGTGACACGCGAACTCATTTTTTTGGTTGATTTTTCTTTGTTAAATGGCATTTAAATATATAAAATAAATATCAAAAATATAAGTCTTTGTTTTACTATGGTTGCAAAGATCAAAAAATTTCTATATGTGACACAGCGCCAGAGTGAAGTTAGGGTTTTTCAAAATGCTGACACGCCAAGCTCAAAAGGTTCGCCATCACTGGGATAGAGCGTCGGCCTGCAGGCCAAAGGGTCCCGGGTTCGATTCCGGTCAAGGGCACACACCTTGGTTGTGGCTCCTCCCCGGCCCGGGCCCTGGTCAGGGCATGTGCAGAAGGTAACCAGTCACATCGATGTTTCTCTCGATCTCTCCCTCTCTCTTTCACTCTCTCTAAAAATCAATGGAGAAATATCCTTGGGCGAATAGAATGAGCAGAGGCAGGAGGCCCACTTGGAGCACCTGCACCCCGAGTTCCGTCCCAGCCCTCAGACCACCCCCACCAGCGCTGAACAGAGATCTCAGGGCTCCCCGGACCCCTGGCCTCGCCTTCCCCTCTGAGCCTCTGGCAGCTGGGACCACAGTCACCTAGAGCAGTGGTTCTCAACCTTCCTAACGCCGCGACCCTTTAATACAGCTCCTCATGTTGTGGTGACCCCCAATTTCATTGTTACAAATTGAACAAAATTAAAGCACAGTGATTCATCACAAAAACAATATGTAATTATATATGTGCTTTCTGATGGTCTTAGGCAGAGGTCCTCAAACTTTTTAAACAGGGGCCAGTTCCCTGCCCCTCAGGCATCCCACACATGCGCACTGCGGGCCCGGGACGCGTCGGCTGCTACGCAGGACAGGCAGCAGCGGCAAAGACACCCGCGGGCCGGATACATGTTTTCGGCGGCCGCATGTGGCCTTCGGGCCGTAGCCTGAGGACCCCTGGTCTTAGGCGACCCCTGTGAAAGGGTCGTTCGACCCCCAAAGGCGTCGCAACCCACAGGTTGGGAACCGCTGCCCTAGGGCAAGCATGTCAAACTCAAAGGCTAACCCGGGCCAAACAAACAAGGGTTAAGTGTATGTGGCCGCAAAAAAACCCTTTAATTTTCATAGAAACGTAGGTTTATTTCGATAGAGACATGCTGAATACAAAGGGCTGAAGTAGATGAGTGATTGTTAACATAAAATAATAGAACATTTAAATTAAAATTAATATTTTTTCTTGAACATTCTTACCAGACACTAAATAATGGCACAAATTAATAAGCGTCACGCAAATAAACCTCTTTTTCTTGTTCTCTGAAAGTGAAATAGTTCCTGTTGCTCACACCAAACACGTCAGTCCAAGACGGATAACGTGGCCATCGGCTGCTAGAACATTCGCTGCTGGTGTTAGTGGAGAGAAATGGTGATCCTGTGGGTAAGGGAAATGAATGCAGCACAATTATAGTCATCAGTCCTTAGCAGATGTTGTAGTCCATTATTAATAACTAGAGGCTCAGTGCACAGATTCGTGCACCGGTGGGGTCCCTCGGCCTGGCCTGCAGGGATGGGGCCGAAACCAGCTCTCTGACATCCCCCGAGGGGTCCTGGATTGCGAGAGGGCGGTTCTTGGGTGACTCACCCTGGAATCAGGCTGGTGTGTCACCTCGAGAACTGCAGCTGCCAAGTCACCGCAGCTTGGCAGCTCCTGTGTTGAGCGTCTGCCCTCTGGTGGTCAGTGTGCATCATAGCGACCAGTCGGATGGGCGAATGGTCGGCCGGTTGGCCGGTTGCTTAGGCTTTTATATATATAGATTATGTATAACAGGATATTGTAAAAACTAAGTTATGAAATTTTTAAAATATATTTTGTTGATTTTTTACAGAGAGGAAGGGAGAGGGATAGAGAGTTAGAAACACCGATGAGAGAGAAACATCGATCAGATGCCTCCTGCACACTCCGCACTGGGGATGTGCCCGCAACCCAGGTACATGCCCTTGACCAGAATCGAACCCAGGCCGATGCTCTATCCACTGAGCCAAACCAGTCAGGGCAAGTTATGAAATTTTTATTAAAGCGTTTCTTACATACCGTTATATTGGCTGGGCCGCAGAAATATGTGTTGTGGGCTGCATGTGGCCCACGGGCCGCGAGTTTGACATGCTTCCCGAGAGACCCCTCTCCGAGGGGCTCATGCATCCTGGGACTTGGGAACAAGAGCTGAGCCTATCATTTCCCCCAGAAGAGGAACCGCTGCCCCATGCTGAGCTTGGGGGGTTTGAACAAGGTCTCCTGGCTCTGCCCATGTCACAGCCACACCCCAGCCTGGGGGTGCGCCCGGGGCACATTCCTGAGACCCCACTGCTCCGCCCCAGCATCCCCAGCAGCCTTCACCTGCTCCCTGTGCCTGAGCTTCAGTTGAAGGGCTGGGAAATGAGGCTGAGCAATCTAGGCGGGCTTCCCGGAGGAGGTGGGGCCCCAGACCCCTTCAGTCCACTGGGGGAAACTGAGGCTAGCCTTCCGCAGCCTCCAGGATGGCCCGGTTTGTCTGAGCAGATCTGGGCTGGACTGCTCAGCAGTCAGAGTTGCAACCAGACAGGCCTCTGGTCCAGGCTTCAGGTGCCTCGAGCTTCAACCAGTGCCTGGCCTCTCCTCTCCAGCCCTCCCCACAGGATCCTGAGGTTGGGAGGGGTGACCGGCTCCCTGGGGCTCTATGCCACGGGCAGTGTCTGCAGCTACAGCCCACAGGGTGTGGAGGCACCCAAGCTGCTGCAACCCCACCAAGCATCTGGTTGGCCAAGCCGGGGAGGAGGCTCCTCCTAACTCCCAGAAAGCGTGTGTGGGTGCTCGTCCTGACCCACAGTCGGGTTCCCAGGCTGCTGGGTGCTGAGCTCAGTGCTGACGCCTGGTGCGTGTGGCCATGTCCAGGGCAGGTGTGGGCTCTGGGGACTGGAGGCTTCATGGACCAGGGACTTTACCCCACTCCCTCCAGGGAACCCAGGAGAGCTTTAAAAGCCCGTGCTTGTGCCCGCCCAGTGGCTCAGTGATTGAGCGTCGACCTATGAACCAGGAGGTCACGGTTCAATTCCCGGTCAGGGCACAGGCCTGGGTTGCGGGCTCGATCCCCAGTGTGGGGTGTGCAGGAGGCAGCCGATCAATGATTCTCTCTCATCAGTGATGTTTCTCTCTCTCCGTCTCCCTTCCTCTCTGGAATCAAGGAATACATATATGTATAGCCCTTGCCCATCCCTCTCCCCAGGAAGCGGGAGGTGGGAAGGGGTTCAGCCAGGAGCCAAGGGGTGCAGCAAGGGAACAGTCCTGGGCCAGGTCCGTCTTGAGCATGGGGGTCCCCTCTTGAGCCCACCTCTGGACACTGCCCACCCTCCATGACTCAGGGCTCCATCTGCCGCCCACATCCGGAGCCCTCCCTGTCGCCCTCCTGCTCACACCTCATCGCTCCAGGCCTGGTGGCCACAGGTTTTGCATAGATAACATTTCAGACCTCTGTCTGCCCTGCCCACACCCGGCTGGGGCTGCCTGCATGGCAGTTCTGGGCTAAAGGGCACAAACACTTAGGAACCCCCCCAGGTCACCCCCACACGAGCCTCAAGCTTCAATCAATGGACTCCAAGTGGTCAGGTGCTGGGCTCCACTACATTTTTTAAAAAATATATATTTTTATTGGTTCCAGAGAGGAAGTGAGAGGGAGAGAGAGAGAGAAACATCAATGATGAGAGAGAATCACTGATCGGCTGCCTCCTGCACGACACCCACTGGGGACCTTTCAGTCCACAGGCCAACACTGTATCCATTGAGCCAAACAAGCGAGGGCTCCACTACATTTTTTTTAATTTTAATTTTTCTCTTTTTTAAAAAAAAATACTTTCATTGATTTCAGAGAGGGAGAGAGAGAAACATCACTGATGAGAGAGAATCATGGATCAGCTGCCTCCTGCACGCCCCACACTGGGGATGGAGCCTGCAACCCGGGCATGTGCCCTGACCGGGAATCGAACCCTGACCTCCTGGTTCATAGGTCGACGCTCAACCACTGAGCCACACTGGCGGGCTCTACTAAATAGTTTAGAAATAGACTTTGTGCCCCGGCCGGTTTCGCCCAGTGGTTAGAGCGTCGGCCTGCAGACGGAAGTGTCCCGGGTTCGAGTCCGGTCAAGGGCATGCACCTTGGTTGCAGGCTCCTCCCCGCTGGGCCCGGTCGGGGCTCATGCAGGAGGCGCCCAATCCATGTGTTTCTCTAACATCGATGTTCTCTGTCCCACTCTCTCTCTAAACAAGAAAAAAATAGAGACTGTTTTTCAGAGAAGTTTTAGGTTCACAGCCAAACTGAGGGGCAGGGACAGATCTGCCCCCACCCACGCCCAGCCTGCCCACTACCGCCACCCCCACCCCGGGGCGCACGTCCCAGCGAGAGCCTGCACCCCGCGCCCTCATCACCAGGGTCCCCGCTACGTCGGGGTCACTGGGTGCCGCGCCTTCCGTTTGCACAGCCCCTGCCAGGTCCGCGCGGGCCGCCCCGGGGATTGGGTCTCGGTGCTGAGGGTCCCGCGGGCACCAGGGCTCCTCCATCCACGTGCGGGCGGCGGGGCGGGGTCTGGGCGTGTCCCGTGGGGGCGGGCGGCGCCTCAAAGCCCGCGCCTCGCTGCGGCGCTGGGGGCCATGGGCGCGAGGGGCGCGCGGGCCGCCCTGTGGGGCGTCGCGCTGCTCTGCGCGCTGGGCCTGGGCCGGAGCTCCCCCGGGGACCCGAGCTGCGGGCCCGGCCGCCGCCTGCACGGGGCCGGGAGGGACGCGCGCTGCTGCGGCTCCTGCGCCTCGGGTAAGGCGGGGGGGTGGGGGGGGGGCCGGGGAGGTCGGGGGGCCGGGAGGGGGCTGCCGGCTCCGGGCGCAGAGGCGCGGCGGGCGCTGGGCCACCTTCCCAGGTCGGGAGCCTGGGCCCCAGCGCGATCCCCAGGAAGCAAGTGCGCCGCTCCCGCCGGTGGCTGAGGCTGGGCCCGGGGCGAGGGTCCCGGTTCCTATGAGTGCGCACTGGGTCCTTGGTCACCACCCAGGACACTTCCTGTCCCCCTTGGGGTCGCGGCCGCCCTGTCTGCCCCGCCCCCTGACTCGGACCTGTGGCTCTGGGCTGTGGGCAGGGGCAGGGGCAGGTGGCCGGCGCCAGCCTGGGGTCAGATATCAAAGGGAAAACACCCCCTGAGGGGTCTTGGCTGGTGGGGCAGCCGCTGGGGCAGTGCAGGGGCGACTCCCTTGTCCAGCAGGGACAGCTCCTGGCCGCGCTGGGTGAGCAGTTTCAGGGCGGGAGGGGGTGGGGGGGGCAGCCAGGCCTCCTAGGAGGAGTGGGTGTCCAGGAGGGAGGGACCCAGCTGGACGGACGGAGCAAGGGTCCCGGGTGCCCTCTGCCTCCTGGTGGTGTCGGACAGTGGGGGCTGCCCTGCCCTGATCCCCCTGGCCCTGGAGGGCGGGAGAAGTGGGGCGCCCTGTGGAGGGGGGCTCGGCCCCGCTGCTGAGAGGGCTGTCCTGTCTCCTGCCCAGCCGAGGCCTGCCCGGAGGGGCGCTGCACGTGCATCCAGTCCGAGTTCCACTGTGCAGACCCCGACTGCACAACCTGCAAGCACCACCCCTGCCCGCCCGGCCAGGGGGCGAAGGCCTACGGTAAGTCTGCGCCGCTCCAGCCCAGCGTGGGAGCTCGAGTGGCATAAGGAAGCTCACCCACGGGGGGCGTGGGCATGTCCTTGGGGGGTGGCGCCAGCGTCCTGTGTGGCTGTCACAGCCCCAGTCAGTGCACTTCAGGGAGTCCTTCCCCCGCCCAGCCTGGGCCCCTCGAGGCGGGTCCAAGGAGCAGGGGGGGCGGTGTTTGTGGGTGTCCAGGGGCTGTCGGTCCTCAGGCCTGGCTCTGACCACACGCAGGGCCTGCACCCACCCTGACCATCTGTGTGGGGACAGCCTGCCCCTGAGCCCCATCTGGGGTCAGCCCCTTTTGGGGAGGAACAGCTCAAACCCTATTGGGGCCAGTTTACCTGATGGGAGGGGTTGGGGGTGCAGACTGAGGGGAGCCCTGCTGGTTGGACAGTGGCAGGGTCTGAGTCAACTGGGGCGCCAGCCTCAGCCCCTCCCCTCCCCTCCTGCCCTCTGGCCGCTGGACCAAGCGCAAGGCCTGCCTGGCCTGGCTTTGGCCAGGCCCCTGCTTTCCCTGCTTCTGGCCCCACCTCACGCTGCTCTACTCCTCCTCATGTCCCCCCAGGGGACCTCCACGCAGCCCCCAACGGTCCCCCCACGGCCTCTGGGTCCCCCCAAGACTGCCTCCCCGACAGATGCCTGCCCTAAGCCGAGCACACACCGGCCCTGCTTCTCCAGGCCCTGGTCCCGTGGGCATTGGAGCCCTCTGTCTGGGGGATGCGTGTCGGGGTCCACACCCCCCGGCAGCCCCGCAGCCTGTCCACCTGTCTTCCTGTCCATCTGTCTGTCTCCAGGCAATTTCACGTTCGGCTTCAAGTGTGTCGACTGTGCCGCCGGGACCTTCTCTGGGGGCCGCGAGGGCCGCTGCACTCCGTGGGCCGAGTGAGTGCTGGCAGGTCTTCCGGGCGGTCCTGGGGGCAGGGGGCTCCTGTCCCTCCCGGCCCAGTGGCCCCGGGCGGCTGAGGGCTGACGAGAGCTCTGTGTCCGTGTGTCCAGCTGCTCCCGGGCTGGCCTTCGCACCGCGTTCCCTGGAAACAAGACGCACAACGCCGTGTGCAGTCCGGGGCTGCCGCCGCCCGCTGAGCCGCGCTGCCCGCTGACGGCCGTCCTGGCCGTGGCCGCCTGCGTCCTGGTCTTGGTGGTGGCCCAGCTCGGCCTGCACCTCTGGCAGCTGAGGAGGCAGCGTGTGTGGCCCCCAGGTCAGTTGTGCCCTGGGGCAGGGGGCGGGCCCTGGCCTGCCCGCTGACCACTGACCGCAGCCCTCCACAGAGACCCAGCTGCTCCCGGAGGCACCGGCCCAGCTGCCCGAGGACGCCTGCAGCTGCCAGTTCCCGGAGGAGGAGAGGGGGGAGCAGCTGTCGGAGGACAAGGGCCAGCTGGGGCACCTGTGAGCGAGGCGGCCGCCCTCCGGCCGTGGACCTTGAGCCAGGCCCCTCAGGAACTCGCTGGCTGACCCTGGTGAGCCCGGGCTCCGTGCCCTGCTGAGGGCCCTCTCTGGCCCGGCCCTGCTCCCCTCGACGGCGGAAGCGGGTGGGGACGGCAACGGCGGCGAGTCCCCAGGTCGTGCAGAGGAGGCAGCAGCCGGAGTGGACGGTGGGGGACACGGACGGGGCTGTGGCTGCCGGCCCTGCTGGGAGGGGGCTGCGGACCCCTCGTTCCCCGGACTGGAGGCCGTACACAGCCTCGGACCTGGCTGCAGGCGGCGCTCAATAAACACTTGTCCAGGGACCTGAGTGGACGTGTGCTGGGGGGACACAGGGACAGGGCCCCGCGGCCTCCCCTACCGGTGCCCACAGCCCCTGGCAGATGGGGTGGAGTTAGGGCTGGGGGCGGAGGTCAGGCCGTTCCGGAGCAGGAACCGCAGGCAAGGCGGGCTTCCTGGAAGAGGGGGCCTTGGCGAAACCACCTTGGCCTGCCTACTCTTGAGCCCAAAGCCTAGGGCGAGGTCAGATTCTACCTCAGCGCTTCCTGGGGGCAGCAGGTAGTCAGAGTGGCCTATTTTGGGCCCAGCCCTCTCTCCACGTCCTGTGCTGGCCTCCACCAGCTCACAGGACCCCTCTCCCTCAGAGCCTGGTTCTGGGGTTCCACCCAGCCGAGCTGAGCAGTCCCTCCCTGCCTCCCGGCAGGTCTGATAAGGGCCCCTTGGCACCGTCCAGGGGTCCAGGGCGTGGCGGGCAGGCCAGTGGGGACCTGTCAGGAGCAGCGCCCTCCAGGTGTTGGCATTCCTGGCCACCTGCCTGCACCCCACATGCCCAGGCCCCGCCCTCCCCTCCTGCCTGCCTGCTGACTAGTAGCACCCTCTTGACTCATTGGCCCTTACCCCTGCCCCCCTCCCCGTCCCGATGGGCAATAGGCCAGGTGGGTACGGCTCAGAGCAGTAGGTGGAGGAGAGGGGGGCTCTGGGTGTGGGCCCATCCCCGCCCCCGGACATCGCCCCGCCCAGCACAGCACAGCTCCTTTGCACCCCAGAAAGGAGGGTGGGGACAACCTTGTGAAATACTATTCCCTGGGCACCTTCTCCGTGCCCCGGGCACTTCCCTGGAGCCCAGGTTCCTGGCGAGTGCCCAGGTGGATTAACTAATGAAGAAAATGCAGGTGGGCTGGCTGGACATCACGGAGACAGGTGGTCAGTCTGGGCGAGCCGGGCCGGACAGCCCGCGCCTGCCTCCTGGCCAGGCCTCCCCCTCGGGCAGCCAGCTCTCCGTGGGGCTGGGCCAGGATTGGTGGGGTCGCTGGGTCACTTGGCTGCTCCATCCCCATGGACTGGACCCTCCCAGGCGCCTGCTGGGCTGCCCCAGGGAAGCAGTTTCCCCCCCACCCTGGACCCGGATGGGAGTCGTCTGAGGATCTTCCCGTGAAACCACCTTGGCCCGCCCACGCCCAGGGCCCCAGGCTCGCGGTGGGCGGGCGGCAGGCTGACTCAGCGCGGAAACTCCTGGGCGTCCAGGGCGCGTGGGAACACCGCCGGCCGTCAGCGTGGGGGCTGTGGGGGTTCACGCAGAGCCTGGGGGATTCCAGGGCCTCGGAGGCAGGGAGGATGTGGGCAGGGAGGCTGGCTTGGGCCTGGGCCGGGAGGGTCTCGCCCCAGGAAGCTCAGGCTCCCTCCACACGCCCCTCCCCCAGCACAGATGCCCCTTACCCTGCGGTCACCCCACCTCCGTCTGCCCCCTCCTGCTCTCCCCCCCCCCAAAGTGTATGTCCCTGCTCAGGATTTTTCGAGCCCTGAGGATGCCATGACTTGCAAGCTCAGCCTGGCTCTGCGTGAAAAGGGCCTGCGGCTGGGGGGCTGGCGAGACCCGGGCTCTGGGTGTTGGGAGGCAGCCAGGCGTTGGGTAGGGGAGGCCTGAGCCCCTCCAAGTTCTGAGGCCAGAAACGTGCCCAGGGCAGGGGGCCCAGGAGGCTCAGGGCTCTGGCTCCCTTCCCTCCCACTCAGCCCAGCCTCCTACATGGGCGGGTGTGCGCCCACCTGCAGAGCTGGTCACCCGGCCTGACCCCCGGGGGCGACCAAGCCCAGGAGGGACCCCAGGAGAGGCGGCCCCCTGGGAACGCTGCCGCAGGAGCAGCCTCAGGTGTCCCGGAAACCACAGCCCCACCCCAGCTGGAGCTCAGATGAGGGACCTGAAGCCACTGTTCTCAGAAGTGCTTCCGGCCACAGCGGCTCCCTCCCCGCACCTGCCTCACCCGCTGGAGAAGGCCCTGCTTCCCGCGAGGCCGGGACTGGCCAGTGTGGGAGGCTCCAGGCACAGAAGCCTCGGTGGGGGCGGGGAGCGGTCAGTCCCAGACAGAACCGGACGCAGGGGGCTGTCTGAAGCCGCACAGCCAAGGGGATCCGGCCGCCTGTCACTCCCTGAGTCCATTCAGCAGAGAATCTATTGAGAGTTTATTCCAGTCTCCCCCGGCGGCAGGGGGAGCACAGGTTCCCCACAGACATCTGCTCTGTCGCCCCGTAAGCCAGCTGCTTATACAGGGCAGGACAAGGATTACACGGGAGCAGGAATCAATGCGGGCCGGGTGGGACGCCATTGTTTGGGCGAGTGTTCATCTTCCCAAGGTCTTAGGCGGTCGGCCGCCCTCCAGAGCTGGCTCCCGGGTGTGTGTCGGGGTGGGTGGGGGCGCACAGTTCCCAGCGGGTCAGACTGTGCTTCTTTCAGCAGAACTGGGCTATCGCGGTTCACAGAGATGAGTAATGTTTCCCAGAACCGCAGCTGGTCCCCAGAATTCTGTTTGTGCCCCTAACGTGCCCAGGGCTGACCCCAGGGGCTGCGATGGGGGCCCACAAGGTCAGGCCTGGCCGCTCAAGACCCTTGATCAGAACCTGGGTCAACAGCCTGTGCCCACACCCCCACCCGGGTGTCCTGAGCCCTGGGGAGCATACCTCCCCCTGGCCGAGCTGAGTTCCGTTTCTCTTTTCATATATATCTCATATCATTGATTCTTACAGAGGAAGGGGGAGGGATAGAGAGTTAGAAACATCGATGAGAAACATCGACCAGCTGCCTCCTGCACACTCCCCACTGGGGATGTGCCCGCAGCCCAGGTACATGCCCTTGACCGGAATCGAACCTGGGACCCTTGACGCTCTATCCGCTGAGCCAAACCGGCTAGAGCACTTTATATCTATTTTTATTGCCCGGGTTGCGGGCTCCGTCTCTAGGGTGAGAGGAAGGGAGAGGGAGAGGGAGAGGAACATTGATGATGAGGGCGAATCATTGATCAGCTGCCTCCGGCATTTCCAGGTGACCCTTATCTGGGGATCGAGCCCGCAACCCAGCAGGTGGCCTGACTGGGAATCGAACCGAGACCTCCTGGTTCCTAGGTCCACGCTCAACCCCTGAGCCCCACCGGCTGCCCCGTGGTGGTTTCCATGGCTGTGAACCACCCCCTCTAAGTGGCTCTGCCTGTGGGGGGGAGGAGGGGCAGAGAGGCCGACACCTCCGCGCCCCCCCCAACACCTCATCTTCCCAGGAAGCATCAGGGGTGCGTCCTGGAGACTGGCACCCAGGCCAAGGCGGCGGCACCTGCTTCTCAGAGACACACTCCAGGGCCGAGGGGCAGGGGGTGGCCGTGGAGTCCGGGGGTCCCTGGCTCTGGCTGAAACAAACCCAGGCTGCTAGACCTGGTCCCCGTCTTCCAGGGGCTGAGGGATGCCCAGTGGATGCCAGGGTGATGGGCAGCCCTCAAGATGGAGGCTACAGGGTTGGTGGGGTCCCTGGGTGGTGCCTGGGTCAGAGCTGAGGGCAGCTTGACCCCCACAAACGTTCTGCAGATGGAAGGCGTGGCTTGAGTTCCCCAACCACCAGCAGGGCCCCTGGAGGGACCAGAGAGATGGAGGAGGAGGACAGAGACAGCGTGGGGGGTGCCTAGGGCAAGGGGGTGTGAGGGTGAGGGAGGGGAGTGGGGGTAGACAGACAGCGTTTACATTGGACCACACACTGGGCGGTGCAGTGCTGGGCAGCCCCGTCCTGGGCACTCGGGTGCCACTCCCCCCTGCAGGTCCCGGCCACCTGTGCTGCGCTTGCCGCCCGCCGTGCTGTTTGCATATTGGGAGGGCACCTCCTGTCTGCAAATGCCCAGGTGCCCACGGCCCACAGCAACCGAAGCTCCATCTCCTGCCCACCTCTCCCTGGTCCTCAGGTCCCGAGTGTGGGCTGGGGGGCTGGTGGGCTGGGGTGGGCATCACCTCTGGGGTGAACAAGCAGCAGAGGCTCTGGGAAACCTCACTGGACATTCAAGCCTTCGGGGACCCCAGGGACGAAGAGTAGCAGGTGGTCCAGGCCTTGGGGGACCCCAGGGATGGGGCTCTGCTGGGTTAGGGCAAGCTGCTCTGCCAGCGTGCACATCTGGTCATATCGCGGGACTCACGGGTCATCTGATGGACGTTGGCCTTCACCCCAGGCTCGGGCACAGAGCTGGCTGGGCGGCAGGGCAGGCAGGCCCTCAGCGTGGCCCTTCCTGGAGGGACCCCTAGACACGCTGGAGGGGACTCAGGGCTCCTGGTTACACAGGGACAAGTGGGTGCTGCCAGCCTCTGGCCTGGACACCCCACACTCTAAGCCAGTGACGGCGAACCTATGACACGCGATCAGAGGTGACACGCGAACTCATTTTTTTGGTTGATTTTTCTTTGTTAAATGGCATTTAAATATATAAAATAAATATCAAAAATATACATCTTTGTTTTACTATGGTTGCAAATATCAAAAAATTTCTGCATGTGACACGGCCCCAGAGTGAAGTTAGGGTTTTTCAAAATGCTGACACGCCACGAGCTCAAAAGGTTCGCCATCCCTGGTCTAAGCCATGGGGCAGGATGGGGGCAGCAGGTGCAGAGGCTGGGCGGGCTGTGAGTGAGTGACAGTTGGACCCTGGCCCTGCCCCCCCTCCCCCTCCCCAGCTCTGAGGCCCGGGGGTTGGGAGGGGGGCACTACCTCTGAGTCCCAGTTCCTCCTTCCTCTCCCGGGCCCAGGGGACAGCGGTGCACGGCGCCCTCTGGTGGTGCCAGGGCCGACGCACTCCGAGGAATGCAGCTGCCTGCCCCTGGGGTGTCCGGGGGCCAGGGGCGCACGGCCGCTTGGAGCCAGAGCCTGGTGGGGGGCCAGGGGTGTCCTGCTTGTGGCCAGAGCTCCCATGCCCAGCGCAGAAGGGGGACCGCAGCCCCTCCCACATGCCTGGGGCCACGGGCGGTGGGCTGAATTCCAGGTCAGCAGTGGGGGCGGGAGGTCCGGAGTGTGTGTGACTTGGGGGTGCTGTCAGCGCGCCCACTCGGAGGGGTGGGCAGGCATGTGAGGGTCCCCGCTGGGAGGGTGTGCAGGGGGAGGGCTGCAAGCAGGGGCGGGCCTGGGGCCAGCTGTCGGGACCCCGGGGTTCGGACTGGGCTGGGTGTGGGGTGGCTGGCCCTGGACGCTCCGTGGTCAGGTGCTAGGACACCCCAGAGGCCCCGAGGCCCCCGAAACCTTGGGGCTGGGCCCCTGGGAAACGCCAAGGCTCAGGCAGTGGCGAGGGTGGGCCCACCATTGGCCCCGCACATCCGTCCTTCGGGGCGCGGTCCTGCCTGGATCCCGGGCCCCGCACACGGCCTCACCTCCTGGAAGTCAGGGCGGCTGGTGGCGGGAGCGCAGGGTCCGGGGCGGAGGGAGCCTCCTGGGGGATCCAGGGGACCCCTTTCCGGGGACCACAGCCAAGCAGACGGCCCGGGGGCGAGGGACGCGGTGATGGAAGGGGCGTGGCCTCCCGGGAGGCGCAGAGCAGGGATGTGGGGGCCCCGCCCCTTCCTGCAGGACAGACCCCCCCCATCCCTCCGCCCTGCGCGCCCCGAGGGCAGGTCCCAGCCCGGCGGTGGAGGAAGAGGAGGGGCGGGCAGGGGAAGGGCCTGGGTCTGGGGGAGCCCCAGGGGCGCGGCCTGGACGCGGCGGCCGCGGGATCCGCTCGGAGCCCGTCTGTAACAAAGTAGCCTTTATAGGTCTCCGGGCGGCGGGCCCGCTAGGAGCCGCGGTGGTCCTCGGGCTTGCGCTCCGGCCCGTCCTCGTCCGCCGGCGCCGGGGAGGGCTCCCGCGAGGGGTCCCCGCTGTCGGCTCGCGGCGGCTCGGTGACCCCGGCCTCGGGCTCCCCGCCCCGTGCGCTGTCGGGGCCGAGGGCGCGGGGCCGGACGCGCTCCTGCGCGGAGTGGGGCGCCCCCGGCCTGCGCGCGCCCGGCCGGTTCTCCGCGCGGAGCAGGGGCGCGGGGGAGGCGGCCCCGCTGGCTGCCGGCGGGCGCGGGTGGTGGCGGCAGTTCCCCCGGCGCGGCCAGACGTCCGCCTCCCCGTTGTGCAGCAGCACGAAGCGGCGCTGCGAGAGCAGGGGCAGCATCCTCTGGCCGCACAGGCTCTTCCGGAAGGTCTCCAGCGCCAGGTCTGGGGGGAGCGGGGGCATTGCGGGCAGGAACCCGATCTCTCCCGCGTCACCTTTGCGGGGCTGGGGTACAGGTTTTGGGGACAGAGGAGGAGGTGGGGGAGGGGCCCCAGGTGGGGCGGGGGTGGGCGGCACTGCCTGGGAGTGGGGGGGTGGGGGCAGGGTTTCCTTGGGGACGGGACGCGCAGGCGCCTGGGATGTGGGAGAGCTGGGTGTGTAGGCATCTGAGCTTGGGCAGAAGGTGGGATGGGGCAGGCAGTGGCGTGGGCGGCTGGCGGGTTTCGGGCCTGGGCAGGGCCTCACCCAGGGTCTCCATGACCACGCGAGGAATCACCTCCTTCAGGACCTCGCAGTTGGTGTGCAGGGCGGGGTTGGAGTTCATCTCTAGCAGCCACACCTGGGCACAACATGGGTCAGCATCCTGCCCCACCTGCCACTTGGCCTGCCGGAGCCTGAGGCCCTGGCCCCTGGTAAGCCAGGTGACCAGGGGCAGGTGGCCTCACCCCCCGTATTTGCCCAAGGGGCTGAGACTCTAAGGATCTGGCCTTGGAGGCTGCCCCGCTGCAGGGGGAACGAAACCCGATGGAACCCTCCACCTCCACCCCGTGGGGTTTGGGGAGGTCGGACTGCAGGGTCCACCCCAGGGCCCGTCTGGTGGTCAGGCTGGGCATAGATGCCCCCGCGCCCTGCACCTGCCTGCCAGGCCCCACTGCCCTGGGATGCCCCAATGGCACCTTGAAGTTGTCATCGATCAAGAAGTCACAGCCAATGAGGTCGAAGTAGCCCAGCTTGCACTCGAGCTTGGACTTGACAGCCAGGAAGCAGTGGGCCATGATCTGCTGCATCTGCTTCTGTGGGTGGGCAGGCAGGGCGACCGGCTGTCACTGTCGGCACTGATGGCACTCCCAGGCCCCACAGCCATGACCACACCCCTCGCCTGCAGTCCTAATGGGGCCTCACCTCAAAGTCCACCTGTGCCCTCACCTGCAGAGCCACCCCTGCCTGCCCACATGTTCGCACTCTTACAGCCAGAAACTCAGTCACTCCGGTTTTATTCATTCAGCAGGCGTGTGGAGCTCTGGCCGTGTGGCGGGTGCGGGGTACAGGAGTGTCTGCCCCTGGACAGATCCCTCACGGCAGGAGAGACAACACATGTGACCCGCAGGCCGTCGTACACTTGGCACAGGAGGTCGAGCAATCAGTGCCGATGGAGAAAATGCAGCTAAGAGAGTGGAGATGAGAGTTCTGGGGTGGCTTTTGTGGTGGTTAATCCTCGCCCGAGGGTATTTTCCGGTGATTTTTAGGGAGAGTGGGAGAGCGAGGGAATGGCAAAGAGAACATCGATGTGATTGGTTGCCTCCTGCACAAGCCCTGACCAGGGCCCGGGCCAGGGAGGAGCCTGCAACCAAGGTATGTGCACTTGATCGGAATCGAACCCGGGACCCTTTGGTCTGCAGGCCGACGCTCTACCCACTGAACCGAACCCTCTAGGGCGGGGTGGGGGGGTGTGGCTTTTGTGGTGTAAAAGGAGGTGTGGTCTGGGGCCTCCTGGAGGAGATAGTGACCAGGACTGAAGACGGGAAGGAGGTGCTGTGGGGGCGGGGAGGGGCGGGGGTGCAGGAGACCCAGTGGCCGCCGTACCCCATGGGGGCCTGGGAAGGACCTTGACTTTCCCCTCAGATCAGAGCTGCTGGGGGTGGAGCCGAGGAGGGGCACCTGTGGCCCAGGCCCTCCCAGGGCCCTCCCCCTGCTGTGCCCAGAGAGACTGAGGGGCTAGAGGTGGTGGGACGGGTTCTGAATATATTTTGAGGGAGAGCCCGGCCAAGTGGCTGGTGAAGGCCGTGTGAGCTGTGAAAAACAGGGAGAAGGGTTATCCCTGGGAGGATGGAGCCCCCATCAACTGAGCAGGGGCCAGGGGACCATGGAGGCGGAGGGGGGGTGTCCATGAGCTGCAGACCCAGTGCTGACGGGCCTGGAGGGGAGGCTCAGGTTCAGGACAGAGGTGAGGGCCGGATGGTGAGACGGGACCCGGCTTACAGGCGGGATCTGAAGCCGGAGACTCAACACCAGTGGGTGTAGGCAAAGGGCAGGGCGTCTGCTGAGCCCTGGGCCTCCAGGGAGCAGAGGCTGGGAGGCGAGAGGCCAGCACAGCGGCCAGGCGGAGGGGACAAGGCCCTAGAGCCACGGAAAGGCGCAGGGAGTGAGCAGCTCTGTCCAAAGGGCTGGGATCTGACCCCTGGGTTTGGCAACGCGAAGGTCACTGTGACCTTGATGAGTGTTCCAGGGGCACAACAGGGAGACACCTCACTGGAGTGGGATCAAGAGACAAGAACATGAGTGAAAATGTCAGAGGAAGGACATCTGAGAGCAGGCCACTCCATAAACGCAGCACCTGCCCCCTCTCCCCCCGAACAACAACAATAAGAAACAAACCTGGCAAAATGGTCAGAATACACTTTGTCAGAAAGGCTTGCAGCAACTTGAGGAGCAAAGTCTTGCATTCTGGTGACTGAGCTTTGTGCACTTCAGGTCCTGGTCAGATTTACCCCCCTCCCAGCTCAGCGCAGCCTCGAGAAAAGCCAGCACCTCGCAGGAGATAGCAGACTGGGCCTGGCTGGCCAAGAACGGTAGCTATTGGTTGTGTCCGGTCTGGGGCCCCCTGGGAGACCTCACTTGGAAAGAATGCTAGGAACATGTGAGAATAGAGACTATCAAGGAAGAGACAGAAAGTGTCAAAGGGAACCTAGTATAAATTCTGGAGGCGAAAAGTTTAACAACTGACATTTACAATCCACAGAGGGGCTTAGCAGTAGATACGGGTTGTCCGAAGCGAGGTCCATGAGGTGATCCAGTGTGAGGGACCTAGCCACTTTAGCTCAGTGGATAGAGCGTCGGCCTGCGGACGGAAGAGTCCCAGGTTCGATTCCGATCAAGGGCACATGCCTGGGTTGCGGGCTCGATCCCCAGTGTGGGGCATGCCAGGAGGCAGTCGGCCAATGATTCTCTCTCATCATTGATGTTTCTATCTCTCTCTCCCTCTCCCTTCCTCTTTGAAATCAATACAGATATTTAAAATATATATAGGGGGCGGGCTGGAGGGGGTCAATGAGGGAAAATGGGGGACATATGTAACACTTTCAACAATAAAGAATTATTTAAATATATATATATGGCAAAAGAAATTACTCTAGAAATGCTACATTACAAAATATAGGGTGTCCCAAAAATATTTTTTACGGACACACTGAATAATTATAAAGGTGGTGTTGATTAGAATACATTCCAGTTTCAAAATTGAGCCATCAGCTGTTAAAATGTGTATACATTTTTTTGGGACACCCTATACATATCTGTGTCACACAGAAGAATTGAAAAGCAAAAAAGATACACAGCAAAATAGCAGATGTAAACCCTACCTTCACAGTAACTATGTTGAATGTAAGTCACACTTTCCAAATAAAAGACAGGGACTGGCCAAATGCATAAAAGCCCCTTCAGATACACTGTCCATGAGACTTCGGATCAAAGACACAGATAGGTTGAAAGTAAAAAGGTGGGAAAAGAGATGTCATACAAACAGCAGCCAAAAGGAGCTGGAATGACTATTCTAACAGCAAGCTGATTTTAAGAGAAAAATTGAGGATAGTAAGGAAAAAAGTACATTTTATAATGGCACATCAAGAGCCTCAGAATACATACGGTAAAAGCCAGTAGCATTGCAGGGAGACAGACAATTCAACAGCAACAGTTGGAGACCTCAGTACCCCACTTCCCGGGATGGACAAGCGTGTGGACAAGATCAACAAATACAGAGAAGCCTTGGACAACAATATAAATCGAGACCTAACACATCTGCAGAACCTCCGCCCGAGAGCAGGCACGTGCTTCTCAGGTGCCCACGGAACGTCCCCCAGGACAGACATTGTTAGGACACAAAACAAGTTCTGATAATTGTTTAAAGGGCTGGAGTCATACCAAGTATGTCCTTTGCCTGGCCCGTGTGGCTCAGTGGTTGACGATCCACCTATGAGCCAAGAGGTCACGGTTCCATTCCCTGTCAGCGCACATGCCCGGGTTTCCAACTCGATCCCCAGTAGGGGGCGTGCAGGTGGCAGCGGATCGATGATTCTCACCATTGATGTCTCTCTCTCTCTCTCTCTCTCTCTCTTCCCCTTCCTCTCTGAAATATTTATTTATTTCTTTAAACTTGTAAAAGAAAACATATGTATAAATCTTTCCAAGCTTGGATTTGGCAATGGATTCTTAGATATGACCTCAAAAGCATGAATGACCAAAGATGGATCAATTGCACTTCATTCAAAATCTAAAACTTTTGTTCAGAAAAGGACGTTATTAAGAAAGTGAAGCCGAAACCGGTTTGGCTCAGTGGATAGAGCGTCGGCCTGTGGACTGAAAGGTCCCAGGTTCGATTCCGGTCAAGGGCATGTACCTGGGTTGTGGGCACATCCCCGGTGGGGGATGTGCAGGAGGCGGCTGGTTGATGTTTCTCTCTCATCGATGTTTCTAACTCTCTATCTCTCTCCCTTCCTCTCTGTAAAAAATCAATAAAATATATTTAAAAAAAAAAAAAAAGAAAGTGAAAAAAGAACTCAGAACAGGAGAACATGGCTGCAGATCACATGTCTGATCAGGTTCAGCAACCGGAGCATGAAGAGCTGAACAAGGAAGGACGGAGGGTCGGAACAAAGTTTTCTCAAGCAGATACCAGGCGGCCAACAAACCCACGAAAAGAGAGTCAACGTCATGATCATTAGTGAAACGCAGATCAGACCCACACGAGATACCACGTCACAAACACTTTTCTTTCTTGTTTAAAAAAGGGAAAGTTGCAAGGATGTGGAGGTGGGAACGTGAGCTATTGCGAGAGGGAAAGAGCCTGAGACGCCTCAGTGGCCGGCTTCCACCGCCCAGTGGCACACGGAGAGACACGCTCCTTCGTACAGACGCACCCCCGCCCCCTCCAGTACTGAGGGGACACTGCCCACCCTCACATCCCTACGGGGTCGTGACCCTTGATCCCGGGCCCTTCCCCCCGTGGGGTGGGGTGAGGCGCTCACGGACCGTGAAGGTGGTGAAGACCCAGTCGCGGGGGAGGCCCTTGGTCTTGCTGAACTTGTCGTTGATGTGCCGGTTGAGCTGCTCCATGCTCCACACCGTGTTCTCCTTCAGGAGCACGTACAGGGGGCTCTTCTTCTGCATGAACTGGGGGGAAGGGTGTGGCGCCTGGAGGCCATCTCCCCGGAGCCCCCAGAGGCCCTGCCCCCTGGACATCCTGCGGCAACCCTGGGGCCGAGACCCTCCCCAACACCTTCTTCCACGGAGACCTCCTCGGCCCCCAAGTCCCCACCGATCCTCACGGAGGGCTCAGCCTCGACTCCCCGTTGCAACCCTTCCACGGAGACCTCTGGCCTCTCCTTGAGGTCTTCACAGAGACCCCCTCCCCGGCTCCTGCCCTCCCCACACCTCCTCCGCGCCCAGCGGGAGCCACGCTGCAGTGGGTGGGTGCAGGGCTCTCGGTCACGTCACCAGATGCCCTGCGGTGGCCGAAGGTGAGAGGTGATGCCAACAGCCGGCAGGGCCCGCCCAGGCCCCCTCGGGGCTGGACAGCTCTGGGTCTGAGCCAGGTCTGCACTGGCCTCTCCTCTCTGCTTCTGAGCCGTGATCTCGTCCCAGGGCTGCCGGGAGGACCCTCACCTGGTTGGTCAGGTGGCCGCTGAGGTCTTGGGACTCGGGGTCGTAAAGGCTGAGGGTGAGGCGCGCGTAGCCGTGGCCGAAGAAGACCATGTAGGGCATGGCGCAGGCGATGAGCAGGTAGGAGCGCACGTCGAACTTCTTCCCGTCCAGCAGCAGCGGGTTCTCGATGTACCTGGGGGGCAGGTGCGGGCTGAGTACAGGGCCAGCCTGGACCTGTTCCTCAGGACCCCACCGCCTGGCCCGGGGCTCCCTCCCCTGGCTGAGTGCCAGTCTAGGAACAGCTTGGAGGCTCGCTGGATCTCCGCCCCCTGGGTGTCTGGGTGCTCAGGCTGCAGCTCTCACGAGGAGCCTGGCGGGTGGGAGCAGACCCGGCACCGGGGCAGGGAGGATCGCCTGGTGGACGAGGGAGGGATGACATTGGGCCACGAAGGGTGAGTGGACTGGAGAGGCGGGAGGGGCACCCCAGGTGGAGGGACCTGCAGAGCTAAAGCGTCTGGGACGGCCATTGGGAGAGGAGGTGGCGGACAGCGGCCGAGACAGGGCTGTGGGGAGTTCCAGGGACCTTTGAGGTGAGACTGTGCCGCCCAGTCTGAGCCTGGGGTCTGGACCCCGTCCAGAGGCAGAGGGATGGAGGGCGGGACAGGCAGCTCTGGCTGCCGGCCTGAGGCTGTGGCTGCCCATGCGGGCTTCCTGCAGGACCGAGGGGCAGTGCCCAGGCAGGAGGCACACTGACCCGGCCCTCCCCCCCCTCACCCCCACGGCAGGAGCCGCTGTCCAAGGGGCGCAGCTCCGGTCCGGACACCCCGACTGGATGTGACGCCTCCCCCTCCGCTCGCCACTCGGGGTCCTCGCTGGCGGCCCGGCAGCCTTGCGCGGCCAGGGACTCCCCGATGGGCCGGGGACCCCCACGAGCCCGGACCCAGGGTCAGCGCCACCCCCGCGGGCGCCCCACACCTCTGCGCCACCCGGGCCTGCGGCGTCCGGAAGGGCATCCGGCGGTAGACGGGGTCGTCCTCCAGGCTCCGGACCTTGGCCTGCAGCGTGGCCACGTCCTGCTGGCTCCTGAGCAGGAAGATGCCTTTGCCCTGGTTGGAGGCGGTGGGCTTGCAGATCCACGTCTGGGTTTCTGCGGAGAGAGCCGCCCCTTAGCCCCGCCCCTTAGCCCCGCCCCTTAGCCCCGCCCCTTAGCCCCGCCCCTAGCCATGGCCCCGCCCTCCCCGCCGCCTCCGCCCAACCAAGGTTCTGACCACGCCCACCCAGCCATGGCCCCGCCCACCGGGCTCCACTCTTCGGTCCTGTGTCACGCCCCCACCGGGACCACCCGGGCCCTGGTCCTGCCTAATCACACCCCAACCTTGGTCCGGCCCTGAACCCGCCTCCCCCGCGCAGGCCCGGGTCCAGCTGCCTCTCACCATCAAAGAGGCCGAAGAATGTCTCTCTCTCCTCCCTGATGTCCAGACGGTAGGTCTCTGGGAAAAATTCTTCCATTTTCAGAATCCTGGGGAGCAGGGAGGTGGGGGCATACTAGCGCTGTCTCCCTCCTGCAAGGGTTAGGGCTGGGCTCCAGGCACCCCGTCTCCACCCTTTCCCTCTGCAGCCTTCGCACCCTCTGTTCCCTGCCGGAGCTCCTGGCTGGATCCTGGCACACCTGGCCTCACAGGCTGCCGCTACCCCGCCCCTCTCCACTCCCCGCTCTTCCTCCGGGAGGCCGTCTGCTACCTGCGTGGCCCAGGCACTTGTGAGTGGCCAGTTCAGAGCCGTCAGTGTCCCCGGGGAAGGACAGTGCCCGAATGCAGCGAGCATGGGTTCCTGAGCATCGTCCGCTGGCCTGGGGTGCCCTTAACTCTCTGTCACCTCACACCAGGCCATCCTCCAAGTCAGGGCAGAATGGACCCCCAGCTGGGCTGAGTGTGTCTACCTTTGTGACTCGAGGGGTCCTGGGCTGGTCCGTGGGGGCTCCTCCAGAGCGGGTGTGGGGTCCCTTCCAGATCTGCACCCCAGGGGGACACAGGGCCTGGCCTGAGTGTCCACTGAGGAGTGTGTGGAGGATGGACGGGTGGGTGTGGGTCTGGAGAGGCGGGCAATGGGTGGAGGCTTTGGAGTAGGTGGGTGGGTGTGTGGATGGGTGGTGGTTGGGTAAGTGGGTCTGGGGTGGAAGTAGGTGGATGGACGGACAGGTGGCTCGGTGGGTGACATGCCTGGAGAGGGACAGGTGAGAGGTGCTGACTGACATGGGAGGTGGACAACTGGATGTGTGGATGTAAAGATGGTGTCGTGGTGACCAGGTGGGTGGGCTGCCTGCCTGGTGGAAGGTGGACAGTGGCTGGGTGGGTGGGCAGACATGTAAGTTGTTGGGCAGTGAGTGGATGAGTGTGTGGCCAGGTGGACACCAGGTAGCTGAGTCTATTGAGTGGCTCAGGCAGGGCCAGTGCTGGGTGAAGGGGCAGCGGACAGTGAGGGTAGAGGGGCTTTGGGAACGGGTTTGGGGACGGATGGCACAGGTGTGGTGGGCGATGAATGACTAAACGAGGGACACCAGTGGGTGGCTCTGTGCTGGGTGCTGTGAATGGACTCTGGGGGGCTGTAATGGGTGGCAGGTGTTTGGGTGGAGACAGATGGGTGAGTGCGTGGTGGCAGGATGGGTGGGTGGATGGCTGTAGGTGGTGGACAGAATGGAGGGTGGTCAGGACCAGAGATTGACTGACATGTCAGGTGGGCGGGTGTGCCGCTGAGGACGGGTGGGTTGGTGGGATGGGTGGCAGGATGGGTGGGTGTATGGGGGGCTGGTGGGGGGTGCCCAGTGATGGTGGGGAGCCAGGGCGGCGTACTTGGCCTGTGGGCACGGCGATGTCCTGTTGACCCTGTTGATGACCCTGGCGTACTCCCTGAGGGCGTTGAGAAGCCCGATCTTGGTGGTGAGCAGTTTGTTGTTGGGGAGCTGGTACAGCAGCTGCTCACCTGGCACGACAAAGCCCTGGGCAGCACGCGGGGGACGGCTGCAGGGCCCCAGCTGGAGGGGGCAGCCACGCTCCCAGGCCCTGGCCCGGGGGTCCTTGCTGGCTGTACGCCCCGAGCCCGCCCCTCCCGGCTACCTTCTCGGAAGTGGAGGTAGCTGTCTCGACACTTGACCTCGCACCACTTGAGTTTGTAGTCCTCGCGCTGGCTGTCCTGGATGCGCTGCCAGCCCTTGCTCTTGCAGTAGGAGCTGATTCTGTGGGGCCCGGGGCAGACCTGACGCTGGGGCCTTAGGACCTGGGGGATGGGCTTGCCAGGGAGGGGACCAGGGGACCTCAGAGGCAGAGCCCAGGCTGGACTGGGCCCTGGGGGCCGTGGGGCTGGGTCCCGCCGGGGGCCCCACTCACATGGCCACCCCGTTGGTGCCTCCGATGTAGAAGAAGGGGCCACTCCCCGTGCTGGGTGGCTGCTTCTCCCCGCCCAGCAGGTGCCTCTCCAGGAGGGCGGCCCGGGGCTTGGCAGCGCCCGTGTCCTCTGGAGGGTCTGTGGACAGGTGGGCGGTCAGAGGGGGCAGCCACGGATGGCACAGGTGTGGATGGCACAGGCTTCCCCGGCCCTCCCAGCCCCGACCGGGCCCACCTGCATCCTGGTCCGGCTGGCTCAGCGGACTCAGGGCCCCGTCCACGCGGCTGCTCCCCATTGGTCTCTCATGGGCCCAGCCTGCACATGGGGGGGTGCCCACTCAGAACCTGGCCAGGTCCAGTCCTGCCCTTGTCTGGCAGCTCCTGGGCAGCCCCCCCAGCCCATCCGGGCACGTCTCCGCCCAGGCACAGGCCTGCCCAGTGGCCTGGGCCCATCGTGCCTTCTAGGAGAGAGGGCTGGTCACCACCCTCGGGTCAGCCTTGGGGTGGCAGGTCCCTCCTCACCAACAGGGCAGAGCTGGGGGCAGGTGAGGGGCGAGGGTGGAGGCTGCACTGGGGCAGACGTGGCACAGGGACATGCCCAGGAGGGCGGGGGTCACAATGTCCATCATGATGTCATGGGTGACTCCTGCCAGGCAGGGGTGATGGGCTGCCTGCCCTGGGCAGGGGCTGGGGGATGGGGGCTGGGGGCTGGGGCGGCAGAGTGCCTGCCAGACTCTGGGGGAGGAGTGTCCCCTCCCTGTGCCTGTTCAGACCCTGGCTCTGCTGGCCCCTCCCAGGGCATGGCTGTGTGTGGTCCCCGATTAGAACCCCGTCCCTGGAATGGGGTGCCAGGCCCCGGGGGGGCCCTCCCAGGGCTGCATTCACCTGGCTCCCGGGGGCGGCTCCGCCAGACCCCTTTGATCCTTGACTGCTTGCCTCTCTTGGTGCTGACCCGGGTCCAAGGGGGCAGTGCCCGGCGTCCTCGGCCGTGGCTGAAGCGGCCGTGGCTGTGGGCTGCGGGTGTGGGGACGGTGAGGTGGGGGCACCGCTGTGAAGGCGCTGTCCCCAGCCCCTTCCTAGACCGTGGCCTTGGTCCCCGTGGCCTTGATCCCCGTGGCTGGCCGAGGGTCAGGCCCACCCTGTAGGGGACGGCGCGCTTCCTGGGGTCTTGGGCTTGGGATCCCCCGTGTGACTGGCTCTTGTTTCCATGGTGACTGTGGGGCCTGGTGCCCCTCAGGGCCAGCATGGTCTCTGCATTCTGTCTGCCCTTGGTGAGGCCTTCCTTGTAGAGATTGTCTCTGTGGCCTGCATGCCGCCTGCAAGGAGGAGGGTGGCCATCAGGCCTCTGGTCAGGAGGGGCCCCCCCGCCGGGAGGGAGGCGCCCTGTATCTGAGGGGGGCCCTGCAGCAGGTGCTGCTGCCCAGGAGGGGCCTGTGACCAACTCAGGAACGTCTCAGGGCAGTTTCAGCCGTTCCGGAACGGGTCCCTCCCAATTTGGGGCTGTTGGGAGGCGGGGACGCTGTGGATTGAAGGCACAAGCGGTGGGAAGGCAGGCACAGCCCGGAGCAGGCGGGACCCAGGGCGCGGCACCTGCACCCCCAAAGAGGACGGTCACCGAGAAACGCCGGCAAGGCCTCCATCCCACTTAGGACAGACGTGTGCACAGCTCTGGGGGCTGAGGGACCCTCTGCCCGTGGTCCAGCCTCGCTCCCCCAGGACGGAGTCCCCAGGAGGGCTGGGCGCTGTCCCGGACGGAGTGCGTGGGAATTAGACACGGACACACAGGCCAGGACACTGCCAGGAAGGAGGACACAGAGTTGAACGCGGGAAGCAGGGGGTCACGTCCCGCGAGAGGGTGGTGGGGACGGGACGCCAGCACCCAGAGGCTGGTCTCTGGCGGCCCCTCAGGAGGTCCTGAGACAGGCTCTGGGCAAAGGCCCCGCAGCCGGAACTGGTCTGTGTCTCAGCTCCGCACCCGCAAAGGGGGCGGGGCAGCTGCAGTTAATGCTCAAGGGGGGCTGGCTGGACGATGGGGGTGGGCAGTGCAGACCAGGCCAGAGTCCCGCAAGCCAGCTGGCCGGGGACATCGAGGTTGTGAGAGGAACCTGAGGTGGTGAGGGGCTGGCTGCCCGCCCAGCTGAAGGCCACCTCTGCGGTGCAGGCCTGGGGGGCAGAGAAGCCGGAGCCCCAGGGGAGCTGGCCGTGGCCGTGGCCGTGGCCGTGGGCGGGCAGGAGGCAGGTGGCCTCTGTGTGTCTCTTCTAACCGTATGCTTATCATTTTCACAAAGAATAAGGCCCTGAGTTCTCCTTCTTGTCATTAAAGGAACAGAGATAAATGAGAGCCGTGGGTGAGCCCGCGTTGGGTGTGGAGCCTCGGGGGCTGGCCGGGCCTGGGGTGGGAGCGGCTGCGGCATCGGCTGCGACCCAAAGCCCTGGCCTGACGCTCGGTCTCCGAAGGACAGAATCTAACAGACACGAGCTTTACGCCGGCCGGAGAGGCTGGGGCACGCGGTGTGGCCCCGACATCGCACTGGGACAACGGGGGGCGGGGCTCGGGGAAAACCGACCTCCACCAGAGACGGTGACGTGAACGCGGTACCTGCTCCGGTACGCAGACCGGCGGGAAGCCCCAAGACGACGTGAGCGGAAGGCCCGGGTGCACCTGCAGGAAACGGCCAAGGGATGAGGGGGCGTCGGTGTCCTGCCCCGCGAGGGTGTGGGGTGCGAGGGAGGCGCTCACATTGTCTGCCAGGCTGGCGCCTCCTGGGCGGGGGTGGGCTGACCACAGGGACCGGGGTCCCCACGGGCGTCTGGAGGCTGCCCTTTTGAGCATCGGTTCTGGTAGGCGGATCTGGTCCTTGGCGAAGGCGCCTGCCCCAAGGAGCCAACACTCCCAGGAGGCATGCCCCTCTGGGCCCGGCCCTGGGGTGGGTGCCCCACATGCCGGGGCCCTGGGGGCATGGGCTCTGCACAGAGCAGGGGCACCCTTCCCCGCCCTCCCCCCGCTCTTTCTGCTCCTGGGCAGGATCCCCCGAGGACTGACAGGGTCCGTGGTGGCCAGGCAGGGGGCGAGGGAAGGCAGGCCCAGCCCTCACACCCAGCCAGGGCCCCAGCTTCTGGCCGCCCGTCCCTCTCACCTGCCCTACCGGCTGGTGTGATCCCTCTGCCCGGGAAACAGTGGCGACCTGGCAACCGTCTCCCAGCAACCTCGACCCAGGGCCCAGAGGGGAGCAGATGGAGAGGGAGGGGCGGGGGCCAGGTGCCCGGGGAGCTGGGCTGCCATTATCCCCAGGATCACTCCTCAGCCTTCTGAGACCCGCACATCCACTCCCGGACCTCAGACCGGACCCAGAAGGTGTTTGGTGCTCACTCGGCTTTATGGCCACATTACACCTCCCTCACCAGAGCCCCAGCACGCGGGGTCCCCGCTTTATCCAACAGTAAGTGGGGGCTCTAGTAAGACAGTGCGCCCCCAGGTGGGGGTGCTCGCGCCTGGGCTGTGACCTGCCTCCCAGGGCCTGGCGTGGGTCACGTGGGAACTGGGTTGAGTGCCTTTGCTTCTTTCTTTTTTTAAAACATATTTTATTGATTTTAGAGAGGAAGGGAGGGAGAGAAACATCAATGATGAGAGTCATTTGATCGGCTGCCTCCTGCACACACACCCCCCCGCTCCCCCCCCCCCGACTGGGGATCGAGCCCGCATGTGCCCTGACCTCCTGGTTCATAGGTCGGCGCTCAACCCCTGAGTCACACCAGCGGGGCCACCTTTGCTTCTTGTAGGGCTCGAGGTGGCCCCGCCATGTGCCCACATTTTGAGCCCCGGCACCGTGGATGGGACCTTAAATCCAGTGACCAGTGTCCTCCTAAGAGGGAGGCGGGCAGATGAGGAGACAGAGAGGGGAGAAGCCGCGTGCAGACGGGGGCAGAGGCTGGAGGGATGCGCCCCAAGCCCAGGGGGGTCTGGAGCCCCCGAGGCCGGAGGGACCTTCCCCGAGTTTCTGAGGGCGCTGAGCTGTGACTCTGGCCTCAGCTGTGGGACCAGGCACGTCTGCAGGCCCCCCTGCCCCCGGGTGGCCCTTTGTGTGGCCTCAGAAGACACATGCACCTCGTAAGTCCCTCCTCACATTCGGGGTCCCAGGCTTCATGCTCACTGAGGGGGGCCTCTGAGAACCTGCAGAGGCAGCCGCACCCACATGCCTCTCAGTGCCGGGGGGGCGGGGGGCTTGGGGTCCGTCCTGCTGCGGAGGCCTGCCCACAGGGGTGGGGGCCCTGGCCAGGCTCTTCACTGGGCACTGGGGCCCCCTGGTCTCAGGCGCTGGGGACCCCCAGCTGGGGGCTCCGGCAGGGGTGGTGTGGCCCCAGGTTTGCTGGAGGCAGGAGGGGCCGGGGAGTTGGAACGGCCCAGTGCCCTCCGGCAGCCGTGGGGCGGCCTGGGGAGTCGGCGCCTGTGCTGGGCAGGGCCAGGCCTCCTGGACGTGAGGCAGGAAGTCCCCTCACGGTGCCAGGCAGCCTCTGGCCTGGGGGTCCCTGCTTGGCTCCAGCAGAGTCTGCCTGGTCCCCCTTTGGCCACTTGCTCAGAGAGGCCTTCTGGGGCCCCCTCATCCCCTCTTTCTGCTCTAGCACTTGGCTATGCAGACCGAGTTCAGGGAAGGCTCGGGGAGAGCGGGGAACGAGGGGGAGAGGCAGGGGCCTCCCCAAGGAGCCTGGGGACCGCCCCCCACCGACTCTGGTGGCAGAGCCTTGGCTGAGGCAGGTCTGGGCCCTGGGACCCGCCGAGAGCTCTCGGGAAGGAAGGGGCTTTGGGGGAACAGACAGATGCTGGGGTGGGGTCAGCATCAGAGTTTGGTCTGGGGGACAGCTTTCGACAGGACATCTCCATGAGCCACAAGTTGGCGAGTAGAGGGAGCAGGGTGGGGCGAGCCAAAGTCTGGGGCGGGGTGGAGGTGAGGGGGGCTGTGGGGCACCAGGAGAGCATGTCCCCCAGCTGCCAGGCCCCAGAGACAGGTGGTGGGGACGTGGTGGGGGCCCCTGAGACCTGAGGAAGGGAGAAGGTGGCTGCCCCTGCCCGACCCCCTCCTTCCCCCAGCTTCTTGCTCTGGGCTGAGGGTGGGGTCTCTCCCCCAGTGCCCTCCAGCCACCTGGCACTACAGGGGGTGGCAGGGCAGCGGGTTTCTGGGGCACTGCCCGCCACGGGTCGTCTTCCCCACCGTGGGTGGGAGTTGGGGGGCTGGGCTGCTTCTGTCTTGCCCTCCTGAGGCACCCCTGCCTGGTACAGGTGTCGGGGGTAACAGATGAGGCCACCTCCCTGGGGAGGGTTCCAGGCTGGGCTGCAGGGGTGGGGCTGACCACACTCCCGTCTCTCTGGCCTCGTGGCAGGGCCCGCAGCGTGTGGGGACACAAAGACCCTAGTGGGGGGCCCTCTGGGCTGTGGGGGAGGCTGTGCCCCAGGAGGAACAGATGGCTGTGACAGAAAGCCCACCGGGGTCAGGGGACTCCCCCCGCCAGCGTCATGGGCTGGCGACGCCCAGTGTGGCCTGTGCCCTGGGAGGACCTGAGGGCCCCGGGCCCGGGCAGGCGCCCCACCTGGTCCGAGCCGCGCTGGGCCCGATGGACAGTGGACCTCGACTTCCACCGGCGTCGGCGAGGGCCCTCCTCCGGCGACCGGGCCGGGGATGGACGGCATTACCAGACAGTATTAGACAGAAGGACCAGGTCTAACCGTGTCTGGTAAGACGCCCATCACCGGCTGCCTGTCTGTGGCGTTCAGCTGGGGGGCGAGACCTGGGCCTCCTGAGTCTGCAGAGCGGCACCTCCGAACCCACACGCCCCGCGGCCTGAGGTCTGGCTGGAGCCTCCCAGCGCCCCCTGGCCCCTGGGCTGCTTCGAGGAGGGCCTCCCTCAGAACCCACCCTAGCCTGCAGCCCCCAGGTGTGTGTGTGTGTGTGTGTGTGTGTGAGAGAGAGAGAGAGAGAGAGAGAGAGAGCAGCTGGGGCATCTGGTTGCCCTGCACTTGACCCTGAGTCAGGCTCGTTAATGAGTAACAGGAGGCCTGGGCAGACCCTCCTCCCCGGAGAGACCAGCTGGGGCCCTGGGCTGGTGGGGTTCCTGGGCCAGAAGGGCTGCCCCTGTGCGTGTCAGCAGGCCTGCAAGCCCCAGTCCTGGCTTCCGATAAAAAAGATAAAACCTAGGGCCTTCTGACCTCGATTTCAGACCATGTTCCCTTTCTTGCCTGTGAAGCTGTGGGGCTGGTGGAGGACTGGGGGGCAGGGAGACCGTCCTCATCGGGGAATACACGGGGGGCACCACCCTCAGCCTGTGGGCCGGGGCGGGGCACCTGGACGCACCTGCCCTCCCTGCGTCCCAGGTGGCCCCGGAGCACGTGGCCCTAACAGGGTCAGAGCTGAGAGAGGCCACTGCGGACCCAGCAGACCGGGGCTCAGGGGGGCCCGCTCCCGCGGACGCGTGTGGAAGCCACGGTGGACATGGACCTGCGTGGTGGACGGGAGGGCTGCCTGCCACCAGCTCTGGACCCAGTGGGTGCGACTGGCCGGCCGCCGATGCCGTGCGAGTCCTCCGAGCCCCAGCGGCCACCACAGCGCTGGGCACAGCCCCAGACGAGGCTGGCGTGCGGGCGGGGCTGGGCCCTTCTCCGCCCCCGCGTCCCGGCCATCGTGGTCTCTCTTGGGGGTCAGGTCGCCGCGGGCCTGGCTGGGACAGGTTGTCCCCTGTGCCCCACCCGCCCTGGGTCTCAGTTCGGCTCAGGGCCAGGGACTCAGGACAGCACGTCCTGGGGCCGCTCCCGGCAGCGCGGTGGGTCACCTTTGAACATCGTTACCAGACAGTGTTAGAGTCGAGCCGAGAAATCCAGCACTGTCCGGTAAGATGCCCACAGAGGCCCAGTGTGCCGGCCCCCGGCGGGAGGACCGGTGGGGGGCCTGCGTGCTCCTGTCTTCTGCAGAGTGAGGCCTGGGGCCTGGGCTGAGGCTGGAGGCGCAGCTGGCCTACCACGTGGCCCCCACCTGGGCTCTGGCCGGCCGACCTCCACGCTGCCCTCCGCCCTCAGAGCCTTTGCCTTGGTTCTGCTTCGCCCTCACCTGCTGGGGCGGGAGGGGCAGGGCCTGGGCACCTGAGCGTCCTACCCCCAGGGCTGTCTGGGGAGGGGCTCGGAGCAGCTGCGGAGGCTCCCACTGGTGGGGCTGGGAGGGGCTCTTGGACCCGCCAGGGCCTGGGGGGGCTGCCAGCAATTTCACCTGGAGGCCCCCGGGCAGGACGGGGGGGGGTGCGGGGGGCTGTGTGGGGAGAGGGTGGGGGGCTCGGGGCGGCCCCTCGCTGCGCGCAGGGCCCCGCCGTCATCATTACCAGGCAGTATTAGAGACCCTACACCATCCAATGCTGCCCAGTAAGATGGCGATGGCCGCCCCCAGGTGGGTCCGGGGCCGCCCGGGGAGAGGGGACTCGGTGGGGGCATTCAGCAGCCTGAGGGGACCCACATTCTCTGAGGACACTGACCCAAGGAGCTGGGAGAGATGGGGCTCAGGAGGGGGTCCCCAGGCCCTGTGTGCGGGGGCTCAGCCCGGGGGAGGCTGGGCGGCTGCAGCTGGGAGCCCCTGGGGTCAGGGCCTCAGGTGACCTCCCCGCCCACCCAGCAGGCCGCCTGCTCTGGGCATGAGGTGGACACTTGAGGAGGGGCCGGGTGTCCTGCCCACGGGAGGCTGGCAGCCCCGGCATCAGGGGCAGAGCGGTGCCCTCCCGGTGGGCGTCCCAGGGAAAGACACGGACAGCAGGCTCAGCCCCTCTGAGTCCCAGGTGAGGGGCGGCCAGGGCAGGACAATGGGCCTCTGTCCCCAGATGCTGCCCAGTAGCCCAGCCCCCTCCTGCTCTTGTCCAGGGTGAGGATGGAGGGTGGCCGTCGCTCCGGGGGCCTCCCCGCGCCCCCCACTGAGCAGGCAGTGCTGGTTCTCACCGATGAGGTTACAGGTTGGCGTCTGCCTGCCCCCGGCTCCGGGCCCTGGGTTCTGGCCACTGCTGGCTGTGGAGTCCAAGGGCGAGATGTGCTGGCCCTGCAGGGGGTGGGGGTAGAGGGGAGCTCTGCTCAGCCTAGGCCTGGCGGTCACTTTGGTTTGGACCCCAGAGCAGATGGGACAGGAATGCCTAAACACGGCACGCAGGGCGTCCATCCCCAGGCGCGAGCCCGTCTGTAGTGGCCGCCCCAGGACGCGGGGCTCAGAGTGGGGGTCAAGGAAGTAGGCGTAGCTGCAGTCCCCCTGCTCCAGTCCCGCTGCTGGGGCCAGGCCTGGGCTGAGACCCTGGCACTCTGCCCGTCCTCCCTCCTGTCCCTTCTCTGCCCCCTGCACAGGGGGTACCCGGGCCTGGAGAGCCGGTCAGAGCGGCTTCTCAAGTTTTCCGGCACCTTCCACCCACAGAGGCTGCTGGGGGGAGGTGGCCCTGTACTGATTCCCCCCAGCCGGCCGGACTGACCACAGCAAAGCCCGCGTCCAGCCCACCCCGGCCTCAGCCAGGTCCACCCGGTTCTCCCACTCCGTCCTCGGGAGCGGCCGAGATTTCTGAGGACCTGACCCTGACCCTGGTGGAGGCCCCTGCCCTGTGCCCCTTTGCTGGCCCCTCCTGGCCGGACACCTGGCTGGTCAGGTCTGTCCCGCAGACCCCGGCAAACTGGTGAGCTCCAGGAAGGCCGGGCCTGCGTCCTGAGCAAGTGAAACTAACGAGGCTTCGCTTTCCGAGCTGAGTTAAGTTTCAGCTTCATGCCGCCCGCCAGGCCCGGGGAGGCAGTGGGGCTGAGTGAGGGATGCGCCGGTGCCCAGGTGCCTCCTTGCAGCCAGCCCTCGCGCTCAGGCCGGCCTCCACCTTGTGTCCCCAGAGCCCTTGGCCACGCAGGCCGGCTCCTCGGGGGCACCGGCGGCCGGAGAGAACCGCGGCCCACAGCGGCCCTGCCAGACGGATGGACGGCGCCCGCTGCTGCCTCCCCCCAGCGCCTCCGCCGTTGTGTCCTCACTCAGGAGGCGGCGGGTGCAGGACAGACAGACAGAGGGAAGCTTCCTGCCACTTCCAGGACGAGCCCCTCTCTCTTCCTGAGCTCAGCTCCTGTGAACCCACAGCCAAGACCATCGCCCGATGCCCAGCCGGCCTCAGCCCAGCTCAGCCTGTGGGCACCGCGGCCGTGGGAGGCCGAGTGGCTGAAATGCAACATGAAAAGGAAGGTCCCCGTGTCCGAGTGCCCCAGACGCTGCCCCGGCCCCGTGGCTGGCAGGGAGCGAAGCCAGCGTCTGTGCGCTGTGTGCGGGTCTGGTTAATCATCGCCCTGGCGACCGGGCTCAGCCTGGGAGACTCGAGGAAGGAGTCCTGGCCCAGCAAACACCCCTCGGGCACCGGCCTGTGGCCCGCGGGGCCCTGGGCAGGCGGAACCCGATCCGCGTGAAAAGCTCACTCTCTGCGGCCTTAATCAACGGTGAGGCCCCAGAGAACAAAGCGCTGAAACCCAACCCCGCGCGGTGCGTGCGGGAGAGGCGGGGGCGTCCTGCCGGGCCTGTGCGTCCGCGAGGAGCCGCCATTTCCCCTCCCGGCGCCGCTTCTCGGCCCTCCCGGGGCGCCCCTCGCTCCCCCACCGGCCGGCGGACGGCTCCTCGGGCGGCTGGCTCCCGTGGATCTCTTACATTCACCCCAGCAACATTCCCACAAACTGATTTTGCAAATAAGGGATTTGCAAATCACCAGCATGTCTGAAACGGACAGCAGCCTGCGTCCATGATCTCCGCGGGCTGCGCGTTTTCATACATGCAAAGCGTATTTGGCGAATTCAGCACCCGGCCGATCGCTTTCACTTTTAAGCATTTCACCTGGGTGACTAGACAAAAGCAAAACAAAGCCAACCTATTCTTCCAGAGGCTCAGCCGAAAAAGGGCTGAAATGCTCCCAGTGGGTGAACTAAAACATCACAGACGTATCCCTACAAGTTTTGTGCAAGAACAATGAGCCCTGCACGATTCCTCCGAGAACACCAGCCGTGACCCTCCTGCACTTCATACCTGCCTCTGAGACGCAGGCCTGACCCGGACGATGCCGGTGGCGCTGCCGGGCCGTTTGCATTTCGGTTAAGACTCTGTCGACCAGACTTTGGTCCTGACCCTGAGGAACCGTGTCGGCCGAGGGCCAGCCCGCTCCTTCTCCCAGTCGGTTCCGGCTTTGTGGGCGCCTGTGCCTCAGGCGGGGGAGAAAGGGCCACGATCCGGGCCAGACCGGCTCTGCCCCGAGCTCCAACCGTCCCAGCAAGCCTGTCCCCCGAGCCAACTGCCAGCCCAGCACCCGGGCCGGGAGCCGCGTCCTCCCTGACCCGCTCCCAGGGAACACGGGGCCCCTGGGGCAGGCTCAGCAGGGGCTGGTTGGGGAAAGAGCTTTCCAGAAAGTGCTGTGTCAGGCGGAAGGCTGCACCCTCAGGGTGCTCGACCCAGGCGGCCCTCCGGGTGGGGAGGACACCCACCACCCAGGCCCACGCTCGCCGGGCCCCGCAGACTCGGCCCAGGGACCCCAAACGGCTGGGCCCAAGATGGCTCCGCACCCGACACCCTGCGGGCCCCACCCGGGGCTCACCTTCCCCTCTGAGAAGAGGACCACCCTCCCTCGGTCCTGACTGTGAGCCGAATGGCACCTCGCCACGGCGGCTGCGTCCCGGCCGGGTCGGCCGAGCAGGGGACGGTGCCCACCTGGAGGCTCTCCCTCCAGCGCGGCCTCCCCGGGCTCCTCCGCCTCCTGCCGACCTGCCCCGACAGGCTCTGCCCCGGGAGGAGGAGGCGGTGGCCACTCCCTGCCCCCAGCCGGGCGGCGAGGCTGCGTGTCCAGCTCCGTTCTCGTGCCCGGACCCAGCAGGCCTCGGAGTGGACACTGGAGAGGCTTTGGCTCCCGTAACCCCAAGTACCTGTCGCCCAGGACACAGGCTTGGCTTCGGCCCAAACTGCCCCACCAGCCTCGTTGCAGGGGGACCCGGAGGGCAGCGGTGGGAAGACCAGGTCCCTGCCTCCTGGGCTGCGGCTCTGCAGGGAGGAGAAGGGGAGTCCACCCGCAGGTGGGCAGTGGGCAGGTGGGTGCTCCCGGCCGGGGTGGTGAGGGGCCGGGAACAATGGAGGTGCCGGCCGTCCCTCTGCAGCGAAGGGCAGGGCCGGGCCGGGAAGAGACGGCGTGGCCCCGGGCTCGCCTTACATGTAGGGCCTCACCCCGCCCCATGCAGGTGCCTGCTCCCCGCCGACCAATCTCTGCTGCTGGCCGCCGACAGGTGTGTCCCCCGGGCTCCCATAGGCCAGCGGGAGGCAGCTACGTGACGCGCTGGCGGCAGGGCGGGCGGCAGGCCCCGCACACATTCCTGCCCCCGCCTCGCCCGCCCGCCCGGCCCAGGTTGAACAAAAACCAGGGCAGGGAGCTGCTGCAGGCGCTGCAGTGGGGCGTGCAAGGGGGGAGGCGGGGCACTCCTGGCCAGGCCTGAGCACAGCCCCGCTGGACAAGGAAGGGGGCAGAGAGGGGTCACAGCCTGCACCCTCTCTCTCCCAGGGCAGCCGCCAAGGCCCCCGGCCCCCCAGGAGCCAAGTGCAGAGCTGTCCCCCTTCTAGGGGGTGTCGCGCACAGGTCTCCAGGCTGGGGGCCCAGCCTGTGGCCGAGGCTGTGGCAGGCCGGGAAACACCCCCATTTAGGACCCCGGGAAGAGGGCTGGGAGCCTGTGGCTGCAGGATGGGGAGGCGAGGGCCCGTCCAGGTTGGGAGGGAGCCTCCTGACTCGCCGTATTGAAACAACAAGCAGCCGGTAATTAGCCGCAGCACAGAACAGTCCCCCGGCGGCCACTTTCCGTAACGAACCCCCTCCCCCGGCCTGTCCCCCGCCTGCTGCTCTCTGGTGTGTTCACTCCGATCAGGGCTTCGTGGGGCCTTGTCTCTCTGTCCAGGGACAGACCTGACCAGAGTGGGGAGTCACCGGCACACAGGCTCCTGAGGGCCACACAGCTCGGGGGGCTGCCCCCCAATTGTACCTACTCCAGGGGATCCAGAGGAAGGCACAGCCCCTCCACAGCGCCCACGGGCCTGGATCGCGGGGCCCCGGGGGACACGAAACCTCCCTCTACCCCCTCAGAGCAGGGCCCCGAGTCCACTGCCCCCCAGACGTCCACAGGCTGGTCCACTCCCGCTGAGCTCAGCCTGGCCTCAGGCCCCAGGGCTGTGCTGGGGTGGGAGTGCCACAGCCCGGCAGCTCCTCCCAGCCAGAGAGGGCGGTGCCCCTGGCCCCAGGGAAGAGCTTCTGGAGGCATCCGTGACCTCTGACCCTCCAGCCCTCTGACCTCCAGACCCTAGCACTTTGTCAAGACACCCACCCACCAGATACCCTCTCTGGGTGTCTATGTTTGCGTGGGGGTGAGGCTGGGACACCCCTGGCTGATGGGCACCGTGCTTTGGGGAAACCGAGGCATTGCTCACTAACCCCAACCTGGAGGCATTTGCAGTTGGGTGGGAGCGGGAGGAGGGCTCCTGGGCACTGACCTCTACCCCCATCCTGTTCACTCGGTCACCAAGCACTGGGTGCGGCTGGTCAGGACTTCCTGGCTCAGACACGTGGGTGGGGTCAGGGCTGATGGGCATGGCCTTGCCAGTTCAGAAGCTCCCAGGGGTGGCCAGAGGGAGCCACATCCAGTGTCCACAGAGCCCCTGAGTGCTGGGACGTGGGGGGGGCTGACGGGGGGACGGTCATGTGGAAAGCGGTGGCCCTTCACCCTGACCCACAAGGAGGAAGAGCCGCAGTCTGTCCCCCAGCGTGTGGGGACCAGGCGGGGGTTCCTGCGACTCTCTCGTTACCACGGCAGCACCTGGCTGGGTCTGACTACTCTGGTCCTCTTGCCAGCCTGGTCAGGACACCCCGCCAGTTCTAGGCTCCACCGCAGACTCAGAGCGCTGGTCCCAGTCCGTCTGTCTGACTCAGAGATGAAGGCCAGGCCATGCTCTGCCGGTTTAATAAACTGGCCGCACTGGGAGCTGCCAGGAGGCAGGATGGGGCTCTGATGGGCCCTGGGGCGCAGAGACCCACCACATGCTCCTCGCCCACTCTGGGCCTTTCTCTCAAACTCGCTGTCCCATACGAGGCGACCACGCTGGCCAAGCTGGGTCTTGGAGGCATGTTCTTAGCCCAGGCACGAGAAGGCCAGGAAGCACCTGAGTTTCGGCTGAGTGGAGGCCAGCCCCTCAACCTGAGCTGCAGGTGGAGGTCGAGGTACTGCAGGTGGAGGTCGAAGTCCTGCAGGTGGAGGTGCTGCAGGTGGAGGTCGAGATGCTGCAGGTGGAGGTCGAGGTGCTGCAGGTGGAGGATGAGGTGCTGCAGGTGGAGGATGAGGTGCTGCAGGTGGAGGTGCTGCAGGTGGAGGTGCTGCAGGTGGAGGTGGAGGTGCTGCAGGTGGAGGTGGAGGTGCTGCAGGTGGGTGGAGGTGCTGCAGGTGGAGGTTGAGGTGCTGCAGGTGGAGGTGGAGGTGCTGCAGGTGGAGGTGGAGGTGGAGGTGCTGCAGGTGGAGGTGGAGGTGCTGCAGGTGGAGGTCAAGGTGCTGCAGGTGGAGGTGGAGGTGGAGGTGCTGCAGGTGGAGGTGGAGGTGCTGCAGGTGGAGGTGGAGGTGCTGCAGGTGGAGGTCAAGGTGCTGCAGGTGGAGGTTGAGGTGCTGCAGGTGGAGGTGAGGTGCTGCAGGTGGAGGTGGAGGTGCTGCAGGTGGAGGTGGAGGTGCTGCAGGTGGAGGTGGAGGTGCTGCAGGTGGAGGTGGAGGGTGGCTGCAGGAGGAGGATGAGGTGCTGCAGGTGGGTGGAGGTGCTGCAGGTGGAGGTGGAGGTGCTGCAGGTGGAGGTGGAGGTGCTGCAGGTGGAGGTGAGGTGCTGCAGGTGAGTCGAGTGCTGCAGGTGGAGGTGAGGTGCTGCAGGTGGAGGTGGAGGTGCATGCAGGAGGAGGATGAGGTGCTGCAGGTGGGTGGAGGTGCTGCAGGTGGAGGTCGAGGTGCTGCAGGTGGAGGTGGAGGTGCTGCAGGTGGAGGTGGAGGTGCTGCAGGTGGAGGTGGAGGTGCTGCAAGTGGAGGTCAAGGTGCTGCAGGTGGAGGTGGAGGTGCTGCAGGTGGAGGTGGAGGTGCTGCAGGTGGAGGTCGAGGTGCTGCAGGTGGAGGTGGAGGTGCTGCAGGTGGAGGTTGAGGTGCTGCAGGTGGAGGTGGAGGTGCTGCAGGAGGAGGATGAGGTGCTGCAGGTGGAGGTGGAGGTGCTGCAGGTGGAGGTTGAGGTGCTGCAGGTGGAGGTGGAGGTGCTGCAGGTGGAGGTGGAGGTGCTGCAGGTGGGTGGAGGTGCTGCAGGTGGAGGTTGAGGTGCTGCAGGTGGAGGTGGAGGTGCTGCAGGAGGAGGATGAGGTGCTGCAGGTGGAGGTGGAGGTGCTGCAGGTGGAGGTCGAGGTGCTGCAGGTGGAGGTGGAGGTGCTGCAGGTGGAGGTGGAGGTGCTTCAGGGGGAGGGGGAGGTGCTGCAGGTGGAGGTGGAGGTGCTGCAGGTGGAGGTGGAGGTGCTGCAGGTGGAGGTCAAGGTGCTGCAGGTGGGGTGGGGGTGCTGCAGGAGGAGGATGAGGTGCTGCAGGTGGAGGTGGAGGTGCTGCAGGTGGAGGCTGAGGTGCTGCAGGTGGAGGTTGATGTGCTGCAGGTGGAGGTCAAGATGCTGTAGGTGGGGTGGAGGTGCTGCAGGAGGAGGTCAAGGTGCTGCAGGTGGGTTGGAGGTGCTGCAGGTGAGGGTTGAGATACTGTGGGAGGGGCTTAGGCTCTGCCCTGCGTGGCTGTGTGGTCTGGGTGCGAATGTCCTGGCTGGTCACTTGAAGAGGAAGATTCTGGTCTGGCTGTTCGCCTGCTCCCTGACCTTGCAGTGACCCCTTCACAGTCCTTGCACTGTTTTGTCTGAGTCCAAGGAAAGTAAAAATGACCCAAAGTCGTCTGTGGAGCCTGATGTTTGCCCCGTTGTGGGTGAGATGGTCGAGCAGGGGCCGGGGCTGCGGGCAGGACTCATCACTGGGCTTCAGCCAGTGGCCGGTTGAGACCATGCCCTTTGCCCCTGGTCCTCACAGGCAGCCCAGCTGGCCCTGCACCCTCGGGGGCCTGCACTCGGCTGAGGGCCAGCTCCCAGGCCCTGCCTCGGTGCGATCACCCCTGACCCTGAGGCCCAGGGCTGTCACCAGCAGCAGGCACGGAGGGTGGCTGGACCCCTGCCGGCACAGGTCTGGGGGGCAGCACTCCCTCCCCTCACGGGTGTGCGGACGGAGGGGGGGTGGGGACAGAGCCATGATGAGCACCACGTCCTGAATGGTCAGCATGGGCCACCCCACAGCACGCCAGGCCCACGTCGTCCTGCCTGGTGGGTGGCAGCTGGACCGGGTGCCGGATTGAGGGAGAAACCAGTGCCAGACAAAGGTTCTGGCTGGTGACCTGGTGGGTGTGAGTGTTCCCATGAGAGCAGGAGGGGGTGCAGCAGGCAAAATAGGCTGTGGGGGTGGGGTGGGGAGAGGAGGAGGCTGACTGGGGGGGTGACAGGAGCCAGCTCCACACTTGGGGACACAGTGGCTGGTGGGAGAGCTGGCAGGGCTGAGCCTCCCTGGGCGGGGCGGACGGGACAAAGGGCCATTGTGCTGCGGCTGAGGCTGCTTCCTGCATGGCGGCCAGCCACCGACCGCCACAGGGTCCACACCCTCCGGGCCCAGCCCTGGCCTGGAGGCCAGGCCGATGGGGCGTTCGCCTTCTGCTAGGACAGTTTGGGAGCCGGGGGACAGCCCTGGAGCCTTTGGGGCTGGGGCTCAGGGCTGGGCCCTCTCCGAGCCTACCAACCAGCCCTCGCTCTGAGGGGACCGGGCTCAGAGATGCCCGCCCGCCCGGTTTCTCTGCTTCTAGTCGGGTCTTCCTGTAGCCCCGGGCTCCTCTGACTCACCGCTGGCCTCAGCAGAGCAAACACCGGGGCAGGTGTGGGTGGATGCTGGGGCCACCACCCAGCCCCATGCGGACTCACGGGGGTCAGCTCTCCACGGGGATGGCAGACGCTGTCGCTCACCCTCCGAGTCGGGCTGTGGACCCGGGTCCGGTCGGGAAGGGGCCTGTGACTCCCAGTCCCACTAAGTTTGCCGCCGGCCAATCAGCACTTCCT